CTAATAGCTCCACTGGGAAAACAGAAGATACAGTACCCCACCCAGAAGAATCACAGGGGTGTCAATTCTCCCCACACTATCTGGGAAGGAACAGCTGGACTACCCCCAAAATCTACACCAGGGGAACTGAGGCACTAGTTTTCTCAGGTGAACCTGCCCAAATGTCATTCTTTAGTAGACTCAGCAACTTTGTTCAGCCGACTACAGTATATTTATACACTCTCCCAAACACACTGGGTCTGAAGCAACCTGAATCCCATATTCTGGCTTTTTCCAAATTCTGTGTTGCCCCTACAACTTGGCTAGGTTCTTTGTCCACGGAAACGCATCCCTAAACCCCAGATCTCTCAGCCCCACATTTGGCCTTAAGTACATACTTCCCACGCACACACCCACATCTTGGCCTCCTGTTTTCTAGAGCTGTGTCCTCATTCTTTACTTAGTCTTGTCTGGAAACGGTGATTTAAAAAAAAAAAAAATCCCAGTATCTCCACTTTGCCCCTACAATCAGAAGGGTCCGTGAGCACCAAACTTTTACCTCCTTTCTCGACTCTGCCCTCACTAGTCTCCGTCTCGCTCCGCCTCCGCTACCCTATGGAGCTGCTATCAGCTTATCCCAGCCTCTTTATTTCTTGACTCTCCAGACTCCCGCTACAATTATTCCCAATCTCCGGACCTTTCGGATCCCAGGTCCGCTTTGTTAACGTCGACACCACGGACTATGCGGTGGCACGGAACCCGGCTAGGATCCGACCCCCCGAAGCGACCGCGCAAGCCAGTGGCTCCCTGGGCCCGTCGACTCCTACCTTGAGGCGGCCCAGCTCTTCCCCGCATTTGCTAAGATTGGGGCTTTTACGGTTCCACTCGCCCTTAAGCTGTTCGTACATGCCGGCTGCTGCCTGCAGGACCGCGCCCGAGGTCGCAGCAGTGCTCGAGACCCCGGTCGCCCCGTCCACCGTCGCAGCCGCCATCTTCCGTGATGCGGCAAACCTCCCGCCTGGTTTACGACAGCGACGCCTAAGAACGCTCTTTCGCCGGCGGAAGTGGGTCCGGGAGGTGGAGCCCAAAGCCGGGGGCGGGGCTAAAACTGTCCCCCGTTGTCGGCGGAGGGTGGTGTGCGTACGCTGCCGCAGGGGAGCCCTCGAAGCCCTGCCCTTAACGAACATGTTACTTGGCGCTCCGCCTTTGCTGTCATTCAAGATGGTGACCGGAAATCGGTTTGTCCCACCTGAAAATGAGAGCTGTCTCATAATACCGCCCAACTCCAGTAGTTAATATGGCTGCCCTGGCTTCAGCTTTGTTTTCAGAACGCTAAATTTCTATTTTCGAGGTTTCGTAGATTTCTGTAAACCAAGAGGTGGCGACGTGGAGCCGTTTGGACCACTGTTTTACAGACAAGCTAGTAGAACCTGGGTAAATTTACGAAGGGTTACCCGCGAGAATTTGAACCTAGGTCTCTCCAATCTTGTTCTCAATGTATCAAATCTTTAGACATTTTTCTCCGGTCGCTTACACACACACACAAAACAAACTATTTACAAATATCCAGCCCTATGGCTCAGTGACACAAAGTAGCAGAGGCTTTTCATCTGAATGCCTGCGTTCACCACTGATGCATAGATATTACATTTGCTTTTTCAAATTTTTTGTTTTGATTTGGGTTTTTTGAGACAGTATCTTGCTATATAGTCCGGGCTGATCATACATACCTACATACATACCTACTATGTACATACATACTATGTATCTCAGGCTGGCCTGAAACTCACAGCCATCCTCTTGCCTCAGTCTCAGGTGCTGGGATTACAGGTGTGTACCACCACCCTAGGCTTCATCTTTTCTTTTCTTAAAACCAATTCTGCTCCCACTATTTAGAATTTCGGGGTGGACACCCTCATCTATGTATGCTCCTCACCCTTGATTTATTCTTATTTAGAGACAAAATCTCTAAGTCGTGAAGTTGCCTAGGCTGAGTTTAAACTTGTGATCCTCCTGTCTTAGCAAAAATAAAACTACTGGGCTGGGGATTTAGCTCAGCAGTGCAAGCGCCCAACTGGCAAGCACTGTCACAAGTTCAATCCCCGGTACAAAAATAAATTAAAAAGTAAAACTATTTTAACTTGGCACAGTGGCACACACCCATAATTCCCGCTACTCCAAAGGTGGAAGCAGGAGAGTCACAAGTTTGAAGCTGGCCTGGGTAATTTAGCCAGACTGCCTCACATTTTTAAAGGGGGACTGAGAATGTAGGTCAGTGGTAGAATGCCCATGGGCTCAACTCCTAATACTACAAATATGATTAAATATTTAAAATAATTGCATGGAAGGAAACAATTGTCACTGAATACATCACCCATCTCCTAAAGAAGACCTAATTGACTACAGATGTGATGATTTTTTCTGGTCTGTCACTTTGGTCTATATGCCTGTCTTTATGTCACTACCACATTGTTTTCATACTGTATCTGTAAATTTGACTGCTGTTTTTTTTGTTTGTTTGAGACAGGGTCTTGCCATGCAGTTCAGGCTGGCTTTGAACTCATTATATAGCCCAGGCTGGCCTCAAACTCACGGCAACACTCCTACTTCAGCTATCCAAGTACTGGGATTACAGGTGTAATCAGGTACTTCACACCTGGCTGTTTTAAATCTTGAAATCAGGAAATTCAACTTTGTTCTGCTATTTCAAAATAGTTTGGGCTATTTGGAGTCCCTAATACTCCACATGGATTTTAGGATGGTTCCCCCCCCCCCCAGGGATGGAACTCTTGATCTCTTGCTTGCCTGGCAGGCGCTTATGCTGCTGAGCTAAATCCCCAGCAGGTTTTCTAGTTCCACAAAATTATCATTAGGATTCTCAGAGGATTGCTTTGAATCTGTATGTCAGTCTGGGCTGGTTTATGTTCCTCCCCAACCCCAAATTGTAATCCTTCTAAATATGCCTGCATTTGGATCCAAAATAGGGCCTTGAAAAGAGGTGGCTGAGTTAAAATAAGGCTGTTAGGGTAGGCCCTATGTCTACAATCTGATTGAGGTCTTTATAAGAAAAAATTTGGTCATACACCCGTCTGTGCCATGGACATGATGACAGAATGTTCCTCTTACACCTTCACAAGTGTTCTGGGAAATAATCCAAGCAAAGGGATCAAAACAAAACATTCTATCATCACATTCTCCCATCATTGATAGGATTAATTTTGTGACAGCTGAGTCTGGACTGGTGACTAGAGTGATGCCTGCTTGATCAACCTGGGCCACAGGTCTGGGGTATGCACAGCTCCTGGATGGCTTCCAGACCCCTCACATCCACTGTCATCTTAAATGGCCTCAGGATCTTTTCCAAATCTGCTACTTCTCTCTGGTCCTCATTTTGGGTTTTCTAAATGCCTCCCTCACTCCTAACTGTCCATGCCCTGCAAGACCCAGACTGTTCTCAGTCTCCTAAGCATTCTTCCCACCACCTCTCTCTCCCTTTTCCCAGGTTTCAGTGCAGCCCAGCTCCCTTTTGTCCAAGTGCCCACTTCACTGCCTCCCTGGAAGGGCCCTATAGTTACTCTACCCAAGGCCCTGGGAAGGTGTTGAAGTTTGAGGTCAATAGGTGGACAGGGACTGGACATCACCTGTCCAGTCTCCTCTCCCCCTTCCTGACAGATTTTCTGAGAACTGCCCTCCCCTCACATGAACAAAAAATTAGACTGGGATCAACTGCTCTGAGCTCCAGAAGTGGCATTTGATTGACCAATTTCGGCTTCATCTTTCGGGCAGTGTGACTGGTGATCTTGTGACCTGAATTCATCCAATCAGAGTGACTGAGAACTTTTGGCTTAAATGTTGGACCCCAGTGTCTTCCATCTCTGGATAATATGGCAGCCCCAGATGATGAGGATTATTGCCTGGGGGTCAGAGGACCACACTCAGAGAATAGATCAGGACAAACTCCAGAGAAATGAAGCCAGAATCCTGCAAATACCAAGAACTTCTGAATCAAACTATACCTGAAGCCTATGAAAAAGACTCATAAATTACCATTTCCATATAGACCACTTGAGTAAAATTTTTACTACTTACAGCTAAAATTAAAATGCTAACCTCTCAGAGTTGCCCCTACCCCACACACTTAGTCACTAAATAGATTTTAACGTTGAAATATTTAATGATAGGAGCACCAACCAATCAACAGCACAGGCCATAGCAATGGGTCTGGGTCATGGAGGACCCTGCTGGGCTACTTCAGGGTGGGAGTAGGCTGACAGGGCCCAGATCCAGCTTGACCTGACCACAGCCATCTTGAGTTGTAACTGTGATATTGGCCCTGAAACGTGGGCCTGTTTTCCATCTTGCACGATTGAACCAGGAGAATGGTGTGTGGAGTTTCCCACCTGAACTGTGGCCTTGCTACCAGGAATGTGCTGAAGTTTGGTGTTAGCCTGAGATAAACTAGGTACATTTGGCTAGGAGTAAGTCATTTTGTCCTGACCTCTATACAAGTTCCCTCTGTTTGACACAAGCTGTGGTGATCCACCATTCTTGGTGCCACCCAGGACCATGCTTTGTGTCAGCAAATCCTCAATAAGTTGCACTCTTCAATCCTGGACCTGCCTGCCTCTTTCTTAGGTGTCATGGCACATTTCACCTACAGTGAGTCCTCTTATTTTACCCTGGATATTTGTAGAACATGATAGGCACACAGAGAACCAGCCAACGCAAACATTTACACACACACACACACATTTGTGCATGCACATACACACGTACTAGGGATTGAACCCACATGGAGTTCTTGTAGGAGCTTTGCACTAAACTACATCCTCAGTCCTTTTTAATTTTTCATCTTGACAAAATCTAAGTTACTAAGTTGCCTAGGTTGGAGTTAAACTTGTGATTCTCCTGTCTCAGCCAGAGTGGTAGGATTATAGCTGCGCACCACCAAGCCCCCCAAAATTTTGGAATTTTGAGGACCTGTGCAGCTGTGCTAGCATAAACCAAGAAAACATGAGCCCTTCTGAAGATTCATGGCTGATCCTGACATGGGGCTTTATTTGGGTCTGAATGAGAGGTGAATATTCAAGTACAACAAATAAAGGCCAGGGTAGGAACCATGCTGCATTTCCAAGATGGGATACTAGGAGAAGCCAAGCAGGGGCAAGGGCTTGAGGCTCAGATCAGGACTTCTTCCTCAGCTTCGGCCCTGGCCCCATCGTCCTCCTTTAAACTGAGTTTGGGGGTGACATCGCCACTAATCTGTGATGAACTGCTCAAGGACGTGGAGTAGTAGTAGGACTCAGAGGTGATGACAGTGTTCATCTTCCAGAGGAGCGTGTTCCAGGCCTTCACCATAAGTGGCCACAAGAGGCAGAAGGTGATGTAGAGGAACACCAGGCCAACAAACACACTGGCTGACACCTGAGGCACAGGGTGGGGTGGGGGGTGTAGGCTTAGGTGCACACCCCAGGGCCCCTGCCCACCCAGCAGGGCAGCTCCCAGAAGCCACTCACCATGGCGATGTAGAGGGCCCGCCTGAAACCGAGCGGCAGCCCATGGATGTGCAGCAGGAAGATGAGCTGGTAGTCACAGTAGGTGCTGTGGTCCACACCTCTGGCGGGGGATGGACCCAAGGTTGGAGAACAGCTGGGGCACCCTGGAGGGCACCCATCAACCTCCACTTGGGCCACACGTCTGGCTTACCTATTGCTCACCAACACCTTGAAGTAGAATTCAGGTGAGAAGATGCTTTGGGGGATGGTGTCATAGCACGGGGAATTCTCCAAACACAGCCACCTGGAAGCAAAGTTCAGGTTCTTGTGCTGCCAACTGTGCCCAGTGTGTGCCAGGCTCTGACTTTCCATCCTTCCTGCACACCCAGCTGTAGTTTCAGGCCGCCTCTCACCCACTCTTGCCATTAACCCAGTGCTGCCTGATTATCTGGCATGCAACAGATGGGTTTTTTTTTTTTTTTTTTTCTGAGACAGGGTCTCTCTGTGTAGTTCAGGCTGCCCCTGCACTCCTTATGTAGCCCAGGTTGGTCTCAAACCTGTGGGAAATTCTTCTGCCTCAGCCTCCCAAGTATTGGCATCTTATTTTTGTACATAGTAACCCAGTATGCTGCTGATCATCTTAGTTGGGGTCAAGGTGAGTGAGCTGGCATTAAAAGTGTTTGGGGTTTTGTTTTGTTAAGTGGAGTAGGTTGAAACTATTTTTAAATAAACTGCGGAACTCTTTATTGTTAGCAAAGAGTCATTTTATCAATGAAAGATCAACAACCTTCTGTACTTAACAAGATTTGCAACATTCAGTTTATTTTTATATGTTTAGAATGCTAAAATGTTTTTGAAGTTAAATAAATGGCATATTTTTTAAAAAACATGGGCCTGAACATTGCTAAGTTCTCTTAGTTTGTTCATTAACTGCCTTTATGAAATTCGCTACAGCCTTTGCTTCCTTCCACTGAATCAAAAGCAGTTATGGGGAGTCTATATACTTGATTTCTCCTCCATGATTTATTAATTCTTTGATATGTCTATCCGACTGTCAATAAATGCCTACTAAAACCAGGTGTTATGAGCCGGGCATAGCGGTGCACATCTGTAATCTCAGCACTCAGGAGGCTGAGGCAAGAGGATCGTTTTGAGTTCGCCATTAGCCTGAGATACAAAGTGAGCTCAAGGCCAGCTTGAACTGCATAGTGAGACTTTGTCTCAAAAAGACAAAAAATAAATATGTAAAGAAAACCAGGTGTTGTGGCACATGCCTATAATCCCAGTACTTAGAAGACTGAGGCATCAGGATCACCACAACTTCGAGGCCAGCCTGGGCTACATAAGCAAGTTCAAGGTGAGACTGCACCACATAGTGTCTCAAAAATTTTTAAAAATGCCTACTATGAATACATTAGTTTATTCTTTCATTCAAAAAATATACTTGTGCTTGCTTCGGCAGCACATATACTAAAATCAGAATGATACAGAGATTAGCATGGCCCCTGCACAAGGATAACAGGTAAATTCATGAGGCATTCCATGTTTTTTAAAAAATGTACTGAAGCCAGGCCTGCCAGCCCACTCCTGTAATCCTAATATTCTGTAAAGCTGAGGCAGGAAGATGGCAAGTTTGAACCCAGCCTGGGGAATTTATTAAGCTAATGAGACTGTCTCAAATTTTAAAAATGGCATGGGGGGGGGCTGGGAATACAGCTCAGTGGTACAGTGCTTGCATAGCACATGTAGTGCCCTGGATTTGATCCTCAGTACAAAAAAAAAAAATCCTATGTTCAATACTCAGTACCATAAATAAACTAAAAATTACATTTTAAAGTAAAAACAGAAGCCAGGCGCACTGGCGCATGCCTGTAATTCCAACACTCAGGAGTCTGAGGCAGGAGGATCATTGTGAGTTTGAGACCAGCCTGGATTACAAAGTGAGCCCAAGGCCAGCCTGAACACATAATGAGACCCTGTCTCATAAAACCAAAAAGAAAAGGTAAAAAGAGCCAGGCATGGTGCACATATATGTAATTCCAGCACTGGGAAGGCTGAGGCAGGAGCATTGCAGTGAGTTCAAGACCAGGCTGGGCTAACCAGAGGTACAAATCAAGACCCTGTCTCAAAAAAACCCACAAAAAAATACTAAAATACTATTTTGAAGTCAGGTGCGGTGGTGTACATCTGTAATCCCAGCACTTTGGGAGGCTGGGGTAGTAGGATCTCAAATTCCAGCGCAGCCTGGACTATTTAGAACTTAGCCAGACCCTGTCCCAAAATAGAAAAGGGCTGAGAATGTAGTAAATAGAAAGGGCTCAGTGCAGCCTAGGTTCAATTTCATGTGTGTGTGTAGAGGTCTCTATTGAGTCTACTCAGGATCTGATCCTGCACACCCCACAAGCGAAAGTGACCGGACAGAGTGAGCAGGGATGGGAAGGAAGGCACAGCAGAGGGACTGGGAGGGAAGGCAAGGTGCTGGGAGAGGGCCTAAGGCCAGAACGGAGGAGAAATCGCTAGAAGGGTCTGACAGGGAAGGCACCGAGAAGCCAACCGAAGAGGCAGTCCCTTCCTGAAACAGTAGGAAAAGTCCTCCTTGTTGGCAGGCCATCCCTGTAGAGAGCGTAGGGGAGCCCAGCATTCCAGGCAGACAGAGGGTCCCGCTGTGTGCCCCCGGGCAACACAAAGACAGTGGGCCTAGCTTCCAGACCAGAGCCAGGAAGGGTGGCAGGGACAAGTAGGAATGGGGCCTTGCGCACTCACTCGATGCCGAAGCTCTCGGGGGACATGATGTGGAAAGCGTCGTCTTTGGTGGTCTCTATGGTCTTTGTGGTCCAGATGCGGCTGTTAGTCCTGGGCGGGGCCGTGTACTCTCAGGGGGCGGGGCCTCAGATGGGGGGCCGGCCTTTGCATCCTGGACCCTTTTCCTTTTCCCTGTGGGCGGGGCTGGTCCTGGCTGGGTGGGGCTTGCAACCAGTGTGAGACTGGCGGCGCCCAGAGGTGCAAGGGAGGAAGGCGGGCCAGGTTTACCTGTCCAGGGGGCTGTTGAAGCGGTAGATTTCCTCCTCGCTGTAGTCGCGAAGACTGTCCAGAGTGGGCCCGCCGCCCACCACTTTCAGCACGTATCTGCCGGGAGCACTGATTCTCACGGACAGACATGGGGTCCCCAATTCCTACATCGCCTCCCGTACCCAGTCTTCCAAGTCCCATGCGGGGCAGGTCGACCTCGCCTTTACCTGCCCTTGAAACTGCCTGAGTCTCCCGTCACCAAATCTTGAATCAAGAAGAAGGGGTGGAACTCTGTGGGATGGAAGGGAGCGAGAATAGGAGGAAAGGAAATGAGCTTGGCCTGAGAAGTGGAAGATAAAGAAGGGCAGGAGGGGAAGATGACCAAGGATTGGGGCAGAGAGATGTGAACCCGATAGGACAGGGCGGGGGGGGGGGCCGCGGGACAGCGAACTCTGGCGGGGAAGGAACACAACACACGGTCACGGAAGAGAAAGCAGGGCATCTCGGGGTCTGGGTGCACGCAGTCAAAGTATTGTTTGTTGAGCAGGCGGTTGTATTCCAGTGTGTAGGTGATGTCGAAGGCCAGGCGCTTTCCTGGGGGGCAGCCGATAAACACTGGCAGCATCAGGTTGCCCTGGGCAACAGAAAATACCAGTACTGGAGGAGGGAATGGTAGCAAAAACACTGTCCCTCCTACACACACCACAGCTGCCTGGCTAGCACAGCCTTATGACTGTGCCTGCATGTGTACATGCATGCGTGTGTTGGGAACTGAACCTAGGGTCTCTACACTGAGCTGTATCCTCAGCCCTTTTGACTGTATTTTGAGACAGGGTGTCACTAAATTGCTCACATTAGTCTCCAGATTATGATCTTCCTGCCTCAGCCACCTGAGTAGCTGAGATTGCAGTCATGTACCACTATGATTGGCTGCAGTTATTTCAAATACTACTAAGGGAGGGGAAGTGAAGGGGAAGAATTAAAGATGAGTTATGTACACACACTAACTCCCCAGAATAAATGTGATCATTACGTACTGTAAACATGTACTAAAAAAAAATTTGTGAGACAAGAGCAGGTTGGCCTTGAATTTGCTAAATAGCCCAGGCTGGGTTGAGACTCACAAAGATCCTCCCTCAGCCTTCTGAGTGCTTGGATTGGAGGCATGTGCCACCAAACCCAGTGCTAACATATTTTTTTTGTCTTTTTGAGACAGGGTCTCACTATGCAGTTTGGCTAGCCTTGGACTCACACTGTAGCCCAGCCTAGTCTCGAACTTGCAACGATCCTCCTGCCTCAGCCTCCCTCAGCCTCCCAAGTATGGGGATTACAGGAATATGCCACCATGCCCAATTTAAACATTTTTTTAAAACAAAAAAAAAAGTATAACTATACTTATAAAAGCTGTCAATTTTTTTTTTCTTTTTGAGACAAGGTCTTTTTATGCAGTTCAGGCTGGCCTTGAATTCACTTTGTAGCCAGGCTGGTCTTGAACTTGCGATGATGATCCTGCCTCAGCCTCCCAAGTGCTGGGATTACAGGTGTGAGCCACCATACCTGGCTAGCTGCTAACATTTATATAGCTCTTCCTGTATACAAAACACTGGGTGATACTCAAAGAGCTTCACATATTCATGCCAGGGCATGGTGGTGCACACCTGTAATTCTAAAACTCTGGAAGTCTGGGGCAGGAGGATCAAAAGTTTGAGGCCAGACTGGCAACTTAAGAAACTTAGCAAGACACTGTCTCAAAATAGGGAGAGCATGTGTGGGTAGGGATATACTTCAGTGTGAAAGCTCTGTTCTCAATGCCAAGTACCACAAAAACAGAACAAAACAATACAGAGTTTTCCATATTCAAAGTCACTTTCCCTTCAGGCTAGGGCTACCCTGGGAGTGTTTATTGTATGAAAGTACATGTACATAACACATCATTAAAACTCACAGAGGTCTGTATGACAGAGTGTCCCCATTCTAGAAATGGAAAAATGAGGCATGGCATGCTCAAACAATTTATTAATTCCAAAGCCACACAGCTGGTAAGTGGTAGAGTCAGGATTGGAAGGACAGGTTGATCCTAGATGCCTCTAGCATCTGATTTGTAAAGTAGCTCATGTCTCCTAATGGCCTAGAAGTACCAGCTCCTGGTCCTGCTTTGGAGAGCTAATCTTGGGCTTCAATTCTCCAATCATAGGCCAGTAGGAGCACGTAATATATTAGGAACTGGATCCCAGAAGAAGCCCCTATGACATTGCCTTCAGAAGGAAGAGTCCCTGGGCTCATGTGGGAATAGGGTATAAGCATTTATCCAAGAGACAAAGGTACACAGACATCCTCTGGACTTGACAGTAGCTAAGGAAAAGACCTGGTAGCCATATAGTAAGCACTCCCAGGCCAGCCCTGGACTGAAGACTTTATACTCATCAACCCCTCTCTCCCTGGGAGGCCTAATGGTCATCTGAGATGCAGTGTGTCTGGACCCATCTTGGTTAATGGCATTTCTATCCCACTTAGCAGTGCAGGCTAAAAGCCTTGGTTCCATCCTTGAAATCTCTCTCTTTCATACACACATCCAAGCCATCAGGATACCCTGTGGTTAATATATTCTTTTTTTTTTCTTCTTCTTTTTTTGTGGTGCTGGGGATTGAACTCACAACCTTGCCCTTGCCAGGCAGGTGCTTATGCTGCTGAGCTAAATCCCTGGCCCTACCCTGTAGTTAATAGATCCAGAGAGCTGGGCTGCAGCTCAGTAGTGAGGCATATCCTTAGCCATGCATGGTTCAACCCCAGTCACACACACCCAGAATCCTCTCTTCCAAACTTTCAACTCTGGTGCCCCATCCTCATCTTGTCCAGCCTTCTCTCCTCCTTGATCTTCCATTCTCCCAAATCTGTCCCTCCCTGCAGGAAACTAGATGGACCCAGTGAGCACCCAAGTCCCTCTTCTGTTCAGAGTCCCCCTGTGAAGCCACCTCACTCTGTGTGGCCTCCAGGGCTTCAGGAGCAGCACCCCCCCCAGCTTTGACCTCGATTCTCTCTACTGTCCTCTTTGCCAACCTGACTCAGCTATGCTTGCTCCTTATGATTTTATTCCAACACCCAAATTTCACATAACCCAAGGAATGTTCCTGTTACAACTTGCCTTTGGGGCTGAGGATTTAGCTCAGCAGCATAAATGCCTGCCTGGCAAGCGCGAGGTTGTGAGTTCAATCCCCAGTACCGGAAAAAAGCAAAAAAGCAAACAAACAAACAACTTGCCTTCAACTGCTTAGGAAATTTAGTGACTTATTGAGACCTTGTCTCAAAATAAAAATTAAGCCAGTATGTGGTGCATGCCTGTGATCACAGTACTTTGAAGGCTGATGCAGAAGGATCACCATGAGTTTGAGGACAGTCTGGGCTACATAGTGAGTTCAAGACCAGCCTGAATTACAGCACATAAGAAGACTGTATCAAAAAACAAATGAGAGACAGAGACAGAGACCAAGGCTGAGTGTTATGTCTCTGGGTAGAAAGAAAGAGAGAAAGAGAGAAAGAAAGAAAGAAAGAAAGAAAGAAAGAAAGAAAGAAAGAAAGAAAGAAAGAAAGAAAGAAAGGAAGGAAGGAAGGAAGGAAGAAAGAAAGAAAGAAAGAAAGAAAGAAAGAAAGAAAGAAAGAAAGAAAGAAGCAGGGTGTAAAGGGAAGCCAAGCTGGCCACGTTACCTTTGTGCCAACTCAATGGGAAAAAGCCCCATCTCTCAGATGTTTACTGTCCTCTGCAGCTAAATACCCAACAGAACATACATGAATAGACAAGTTTGTATGCAACTTATACATGTGTGATGCCAGCCCTTTCTGAACATATGAAAGAGGAAAGTAAGTGTGTGGGTGGGTGGATGCTGAAATGAATGAGGATGCAGGAAATCAGAAATGCACTAGTAGGACTCAGCCCTGGGAGCCCCAGCCCAACCCCTCATGTCCCAGCACAGGGCCCAGTATTCCAAGCTTTAGTACTTGCATATGGAGCCCCAAGTGCGTGCTCTGGAAGCAGTGCCCGGAAGACCCTTGTACCTGCAGGTAGAATCAAGCAATGATGGTGGTCCCCACAGACCTGGGCTTCTCCCTCACCCCATGTTCCTCCCTCCTAGGCTTGAACGGCACCTTGACCATCACAGAAGTCTTCATGAGATGATGTCCACTAATGCCTTGGTCATAGCAAAACTTTTTATCCCTGAGTGTAATCTGGAGTGGGAGAATAGGAGAGGCAGAAATAAGGTATATATGGGTCCAAGGCCCCAGGAACAGCTCAATATTCCATAGCTAGGGAGGGGTGGGGACTAGAAGAACCATGGTTTTCCATTTCTCACGTGGAGGAAGAGATGAACAGTTAGTTCCCAGGACCCCACACCTTTTTTTTTTTTTTTTTTTTTCTTTTTGAGACAGTGTCTCACTTTGTAGTTCAGGCTGGTCTTGAACTTGCTATGTAACTCAACCTAGTCCCTAACTCACAGGAATCCTCCTGCCTCAGCTCCTCCAGTGCTGGGATTACAGCTCTATGCAAGTACTACCTTGATACCCACCCTTGCCCAGCCTCACCAAGAACTGCACTGAGTTTCGAATAACAGTAGTCTCCTGCTTCGCAAAGGCCTCGATGCAGTGGGGATCAGCCAGCACAAAGCCCACTGCCAGCTTGCGCTGCACCTGGAAGGCAGAGCCTGGGCGAGGCAGAGGGAGGGTTAAGGTCCCACCCCTTGGATGGTGTCTGGGTCCCAGCCTCCTCCTTCCAGAAGCAGGCACTCCGCTCCCATTCGGGGTCTGCCCACAGACCCTCTTTGGAGCGCATCTTTAAGGAGAACTGGTAGGAGTTGCCCTTGTCCAGGAAAATGTATGCAGGCAGCTGGTACTTGGACTTGAGGTTGTAGATCTTTTCGTAGCTGGCCATGTCAATGTGCACGCCACCCGCACTCAGCCAGTTTCTCTTGAGATATAGGTAATAATCCTGGTGGGTGTGAGCAGTCAGTGCCGCTATGCACTATGCGGTAGGCTGTCTGGCTTCCCCCTTCCCCCGACACTCAACCCTCTCCATGTACCTGGTCCTGTTTCTTGTTTTTCCACCAGCGCCAAGTAGGATCATGCACCGGGTCTGCATATGGCTGCGGGGACCCAAGGATTGAAGGAGCAATGGGGCGACAAGGGCCAGATAAGCGAGCCCCAGATAGCCCTAGCTTGGGTTCCAGCCTATAAACCCAAACAGAAGGTACTCCAGCCAGTCCCCAAACCCCAGCCTTTCTTTGGAGTACTGGATATGAAACCCAGGACCTTTGAACTGAGCTACATCCACAGGTCCCTGCCCCCATCTCTCTCTCTCTATTTTTTTAGATAGGGTCTTGTTAAATTGCCAAATTGCCCAGGATGGGTTTTAACTTGCAATCCTCTTGCTTCAGTTTTTTTAAACTACTGAAATTACAGATGTGTACCACCACACCTAGCAACCAAACCCAGCTTCCGCCCATTAGCTGCACCCTCTAAACCCTCTTCACAGTCCTACCCCCGCTAGCCCTGCCTCCACCCCTCCAAGTCCTGAAACCTTGGTCTCCAATCCCGCTGCGCAGGTGGCGGTCCCCTCTGCCACGGGGTTCCCACCTTGTTGTACTTGGTGTGCAGCCAGAGCAGGTAGTAGAGCAGGCCCTGGTAGACAGCAAGTGACTTCTCGCTGTGGAAGCCCGAGCTCTCCAGAATGTGTGGTGGTCGAGCCCGATAGCGCTCCTCACGTGTGTAGGCCTGCGGGTTGGGCAGGTTCAGCAGGCTCAGTGTGCTGAAGGGACACGCGTTGGTGAAGGCCAGCACCGAGTGGCTCCTGTGCAGTGGCAACAGGGCGGCAGCTAACTAATGTGCCTGAGAGCCAGGCACACTGCAGCCCTCCCGGGCCTCACCCCCACCTCTGTGCTGCCAGCTCGGTGCCACAGCCCCTCTCAGTGTACCGTTGGCTGTCCGAGTTCCCCAGTTTTGTCTGCTGTAGTCTGTGTGTGTGTGTGCCTGTGTGTGGTGTATGTATTACTAGGGACTGGACCCAGGGCCTTCGCATTGAGCTAAGTCCTCAGCCCCTCTTTATTTTCCTCATTGTGAGCCAGGATCTCACTAAATTGCACAAGTGCGCTTGAACTTGTTTTTTTAAGACAGGATCAGCAGCACTGTGCCTGCCTGGAAAGTGCAAGTGCTGAGTTTGATTCCTGGTAACAAAAAAAAAAAAAAAAAAACAGGGTCTCCCTATGAAGTTCAGACTAGACTTGAAGTCATCACTCCTGGCAATCCTGTCTCAGCTTCCTGAGTGTCAGGATTATAGGCATGTGCCAGTTTTTATTTTGTTTTGTTTTGTTTCTCCCTGTGTAGGCTGGACTTGAACCTTCAGCTATCTTCCTGCTTCAGCCTCCCAAGTGCTAGGATTACAAGTGTGTACCAGAATGCCTGGCTGAACTTGTAATTCTTTTTTGTTTTTTGTTTGTTGTTGTTAACTTGTGATTCTTCAGCACCTACAGTCCTTTCTTCCTAGCGCCCTTGTAAGCATGGTCCCTCTCCTAGCTAGAAAACAGGTCGGCACCTTCCCAACCATCTAACTCTCCTCACCCTTCGGGTTTGAGCTGACACCTCCACCTTGAGTTCCTCCCTGATTTATGCTCCCTCTAGACTAGGTCTGGCTCCTCCTTTGAGCTTCACAGGTGCTGAGCTCCACACATTCTAGCCTGGAAAGTGCTGCTCCTAGGGCTGGGAACTTCTGGGGCCACCTGTGTGGTCCCCATCTTCTTACCCCTGCCGGTCCAAGCGATAGTGGCTCTGTTGCTCATATAGCAGCAGCTTCTCCACGGGCACCAGCCTCTTGACCAGGCGACCCTGCCTGTGGCCCTGGAGATACACCAGCTGCGGGAGCAGGGGGCCAATAAGGTGCTGTTGGTACCCTGCGGCGAGCGCCCCCCTGTGGCCCTGTAGCACTCTCCGGGCACCTGGTATAGCTCCCTGTCTTCGTAGAAGAAAGTGACTGAGGTCTCATTGGCAGCATAGAGGGAGGACTGTTGCAACATCTGCAGACTGGAGTGGATGCTCCAGCCGTGGGAAGGGAACAGCCGGTACACACGATAATTGCCTTCCAGGAGGTACCAGATCTGCAGGGCAACGAGCTGTGTCTGAACCGTGGGGATGTCCAGCAGCACACTCCTACCCAGCGCTGAGGCTTAACGCTCACTCTAGGTAGGACCAGGTGAGCCCATGCCTCCCTGCAGTGCTATTTCTCTACTTGTTTGAGTCCCGCCACTTCAGTTTCCAGCCCCTATGCCAGAACACTCGCTTGTTTGTATGTTTGTTTTTTGACATAGGGTCTTGCTATGTAGTCTAGAATGGCCCCTGCTGAGTGCTGGTGCCATGCGCCTTTGACAAAGACTCTGAATTCCAGGATTCTGTAATAGGTGGAGCTTCTGGTAGCCCTTCCCTGATGTCCTTGAAGATGCTCCCACTCTCAGTCCCTTTACCCTTATGGGGGCAGGGAGATTTGGGTTGAGCAGAGAGGGAATGGAGAGTGGGCCAGGGCTGCCCACCTCTTCAGTCTCTGTGATAATAACGATGTCCCCACCAAAGGAGTTGACCAGGTATTTGATGCATAACTCTTTGGGGAAACCTGCCAAGTATGTGTAGTTTTCTTCATTGTAGCTATAAGAGGCAGAGACAGGAAGCTCAGGGTATAGGCATCCCCAACATGCAATACAGGACCCACTGACCAGTTCTCTGCTACTTTGCGAACCAGTCAAAGGGACATGGATACCTAGGTTCTGCCCCTACGGCACAGCCTTGGAAACCTTCTGCCCTCAAGAGTCCCTGTCCCCATCTGTGGGATAGAAACAGTGTGCTTTCTTGCATGGAAGTGGTAAGAAGTGCAAAGGACCCTAAACCATCCTTCGCAAATGCGCTTCCACTGCTCCCCTAGCTTGGGTTCTTACATAGTTTCTTTTTTTCTGTTTATTGAGACAGGGTCTTAGGGTCTCACTCTGGTGGCAAGTTCAAAGCTGGCCTTGAACTCACTATGCAGTCCAGGCTGGCTTTGAACTCAGTCCTGTAACAGCCTCCTGTGTGCTGGGATTACAGTGGTGCGCCATCACACCCAGCCACATAAAGTTTCATTTTAAGAAAGACTTCCAGGTAGCACATGTCTGTAATCCTAGTGCTCTGGGAGGGTGAAGCAGGTAGACCACAAGTTCCAATCCTGATGGGGCAACTTAGCAAAACTCTATATGAAATTACAAAAACAAAAAGGGCTGGGGATATAGCTCAGTGCAAGGCTCTAGGTTCAATCCCCAGCACCACAAAGTGTATAAATATACATATATATATACATATATATATATATATATGTATATATTATCCCTATCCTATCTTTCACTACCCCAGTCCATGGTTCCCCATTCTCAGTCCGGACACAGTCACTTGGGTCTCCTCTGAAGGCTTAGAGACCTCCGAAAGCCCCCACCAGACACACACAGTGGGGCTGGCAGTCACTCTGCCAGAGCAGGGCCCGGCCTACCTCTGCAGGAGGAAGTTGCCCCAGATGAACAGCAGGTTGTTGTAGGTGTTGAAGAACATACCCTTGGGCACCATGGGAGAGCTGGTGTACTTCTCTGTGCCTACCATCATCAGGAACTCCATGCCCTGAGCTGATTGGAGCAGAGGAGGGGGGAATACAGCAGAGAGACAGGGTCACCTGGGCCTCTCCTGGCCCCTACCCATTTGTGGGGGCCACCCTCGCCTTCCCCTCCTACCATCAGGGATGAAGTCTGGGATGATGTACAGGACTTTTGCGTCATTAGTGACTGTGAAAACACAATAGTCTCCTAAAACCCCAAGCTTTCAAAACCTGATGCCAGAGCTAACTATGACCCCTCTTAACTCCCCCAAACCCTCTCCAAGGCTTGCCTCCCACTTGGGCCAGAATTCCTTGAGGTAAATTCTAAAAATGTACTGCCTCTGAAAGGATGCAGTCCGATTATGGCCGTTCTCTCCTCTGGCCCCCTGCCTGAGGTTTTATGCAGTGCACAGCCTTGCTGGATCTGCTCCACTCACTCCCTGTCCTCTTCCTCTTCCTCTATTCCTCACTCTACCATCTCCTTTATTCTCCGCCCGCGGCCCCTCCCCACCACTACAGAATGAACCGTAGGTCTTCATCTCCTCCCTTTTTTTTGTTTTTGAGACAGTGTCACTAAACTGCAACCCTCCTGCCTCAGCCTCTCGCGGTGCTAGGATTCCCAGTGTGCACCAGCACGTGCAGCCTCTACCTCCTCATTTAAGTTTGACTTGAACAGCCTCCCTTCCCCTGCCTGCCAAACTGACCTCCCTCAGGAGGAAGACCCTATCTGGTCACCCCGCCCCCCATCGCCCTGGTTACCCAGGCTGTAGCTGACCACACAGAAAGATTTTGCGTGGCCCTGGATCTCCACCAGCAGCAGGACCTTGTAATCACCTGAGACGAACACGGCCCACAAAATGGAGCAGTTGCCAACTGAGGATGGAGGGTAAGTTCATAGCAGTTGGGAGAACCCTGCCACCTATTCATTTTGGTGATGCCCCCCAGCCTCATGTGCATTCCCTCCCCCACCACAGGATCTTCTTCCCATCCACAGCCCCCCATGGGCGGGGAGGGCACAGTACCGGAGATCAGCTCGCACACGGACCTGCCCTTGGGCAGCATTTTGAAGGACACGCGGCCCTCTGTGGAGGGAGAGTGAGTTCAGGCCCTTCCCACCCCACCGTACCCAAACAGTTTCCCCGCAGTAACCTCGCAGTGCCAGGGGACCTTTCCCTCAGGCACACCATCCCAGCACTATGAGTTTGCCTCTGGGTACAGGAATGGGCACAAATCTGGGTCTGTGACTCAGAGAAGGTAAGAGTGTAGCCCAGCTCCAGCCCAGGGGCCTTTCCGTCCCCCTTCCAGGGAGCCAGGGCCTGTGCCTTGACCTCCATCCCCAGCCTCTTTCCTTCTACATTTATTTTGACAGGGACTTGCTCAATTGCTGTCTTGCCCCAAACTGGTTTGAACTTGCTACCTCACTTTCCCAGAATTCTGGGGTTACAAGCCAGCACTGCCACATCCAGCCCAGGAGTCATCATTAAACACCACGAAGAAAGTCTACTTCAAGATGAAGCCAAATCATAGGGCAGACAATGATAAACCATTACTCATATCCACCATGTCCCTGGCCCTGTTCTAAAACTGTTACATGCCGGCTTCCTTTACCTTTACATCAACTGAAAAAAGTAGGTGCTGCTATTATCATTCAGTCCTATTTTACAGATAGAGAAAAAGAGGTCAGTGAGGCCAAGTCAGGTGGCTAAAACCATACAACTAGGAAGCGACACAGCAGTTTCTCTCCAGAATCTGCTACAGTAAGTTACTATGCTATGCCATCTTGCCCAGAGATGGACACATATCCTGTAGTTCCTTGGATCCAGCCATGCCTGAAGCTGACACCTAGCCTTTTCATTGTTAGAAGTCCACAAATATATTATATTAGTTTGAAGAAAAAAAACTGTGTTTTTTTTTTTTTTTAATCTTTTTGAGACAGGGTCTCACTATGTAGTTCAGGCTGGCCTTGAGCTCATTTTGTAGGTCAGGCTGGTCTCAAATTCACCGATCCTCCTGCCTCAGCTTCCTAAGTGCTGGGATTACCGATGTGCAGCACCATACCTAGCGCTGGATTTCATTCGGCTTTTGCCCTTGATAACCAAACATATAGTGAAAGATATACAACATAACATACTCCCAAGCCTTATCTCTACAAATGAATACACGTGTACATGCTCACCCATGCATACCCATACACATAGAGATGACTCCCGATCTGAAGGCACATGGTTTGGAATGAGAGGTCTGGGGTTCCCTTACCTGTGATGGTCCCGAAGTGCAGATAGCCCTCATGCTTGCCTGTGGTGAGGGCCATGATGTACTCAGAGCCGTTACTGTGGAAAAGTACGGGACACAGCCTCTTGATGCACTCAGTGGTCAGGACCCGAACCCAGCTGCCTGGGATGGGGGCAACATGGGGCCTCAGGCCAGGGTCAAAACACCTGTGCCTGGGTCCCCGTTTCATCCCACTGGCCTTAGAGAACCCATGTGCTGTCCGCTCAGCGTGGCATCTGGTGACCCTGGGCAATGACAGCAGCTGTTTCTGAGAAAAGCCCCTTCCTGGTTCTCTGTCCCTGAGGTCAGGCTACTGCAGGCCCCTCTCTCACTATCCTGACCAGAGCCACTGGTTTAAACAGGACATGAGCAAGCTGGGCAAATCAGAGTGCAACCTGACTTACAACCATAGCAAAGGTGCCTGTCCTGGGGCCACAATGCTCAAGTGTCCCCTTGCAGGTGGGGTAAGAGTCAACATGGACTCCCAACCCGCTGGGAGGAGAAGACAAGTCCCCATCCAGCCATGTCTTAAAGCAACAGGCTCCTGGGCTGTCAGCTACGGAAACCTGGAAACAACCCCATTCTGTGGCTTAAACCAATTTTCATTTGATCTTCCACACTGTCAACAGGCCTAAAGGAGGAAAATGGAGCAGTGGGAGCATGCATTAATAAAAGTCACCATACTTTTCCAGGAATCCAGCTTGGGGAGAGGGGGTGCACTACCATTCCCAGCCCTTTATTTTTTTTATTTCTTACTTTGAGATAGGGTTTCACTAAACTGTCCAGGTAGAACTCAAACTTGTGATCCTCCTGCCTCAGTCTCCCTCAAAGTGAGGATTACAGGTGTGATCTGGTTACTACAGTGTAGTTGGCTGTAACCCTACATCTCTCCTGTAGGTGGGGGAATTAAAAGAACTGGGGCTTCGATAGCATCTATAAAATGAAAAGATCAAGTGTCTTCTTTTCTTTTTTTGAGACAGGGTCTCCCCTTAGTCCAAGTCCAGTCCTAGCTCAAAGAGTTTCTTTCTCATCAGTCACCTGTGTGTGCATGTGTCTGTCAGTCTGCCTCCTCTTGCTCTTTCCCTCTGACATACTATCTGCTTCCCCCATCCCTGGCTTTCTCTAAGAATCTAATCTTTGTCACTGACTTGTCTGTCATTTGTTTTTCTTTTTTAGTCTCTTTTCTTCTTCCTCTTCTTTTTTTTTTTTTTTTTTTTGGCAGTACTGGGGATTAAACAAGTACCCTACCACTGAGCTACTCCCAGCTCCCCCACCTTTTGAGACAGGGTCTCGACATGTAGTTGAGCTTGGCTTCGAGTCTACTAGGTAGCCCAGGCCAGCCTCAAACTTGCACCAGGTCTCCTGCCTCAGCCTTCCAAGTGCTGGGATTACAGACATGCATCACCACATGTGGTTTCATTTTTTATTTTAAAACAGGATCTTGTTAAATCATCAAGTCACCCAGGCTGGGTGTGAACTCCCAATCTTTCTGCCTCCTGAGTAACTGGGATTATAGGTGTGTACCACCATACCTGCTGCATCTCCCTTGGTTTGTCATCATGCCATTCTGCCTGTGTGCGACTGTGGCTTCCTCTCACTCTGTCCCCCTCCCTGCTTGTGCCTCCTCCGTGCAGCTGGCTCACAGTGATGGTGGTAGGAAGGCTGGGGCAGCCAGGCAGGGTGGTTCATGACCTCAGTAGGTCCCTCCCTGCCACCAGCAGCATTTCCAACCCAGGGTGTCCAGGGGTCCCCTCGCCTGAGGCAGCCCTCACCGCTGCTGTGACTGCGGTTGTACAGTGTAGCATAGGTGCCTGTGAAATAGTAGACAAGCTGGTTCTGCCGAATAAAGAGGGTGCTCTCGGTGGAGATGGCATCATAGATGGTAGCCGAGAAGTCAGCCTGGGGGCAGTAGAAGGAGCCTACCCAGCAACTGTCAATGCTCAGCTGTGGGGAAGCAGAGGCCATGGTGAGCAGGTGACTTACACCTCAGACCCCACGGCCTGCCTGGGGATAGCTCCCGTTCTTATCATCTGTGATAGAGGGACACCAGGTGCTCTTGCTGCTCACCTGCAACTGTACCATGGTAGCCAAAGTTCCCCATCAGGGGCCAGGGAAGGAGACATCCAAGACTACAGACACCTGGGCATTTTGTCACCCTTGGAACAGTACAGCATGCTCAGTGGCAGTTCCTTTGCCCTTGGCTACAAATATAAAATATCCTATGGCTGAATCAAGAGGCATTTAGATAACTCCAGTCTACTGTGAACACACTTCACTGCTAGGTTAACACCACCTGAGTCCTCTTACTAATGCTAACAATGTCCCAAACAGTGGCAGCACCACTGACCCAGGGTTACCGATTATAAGATAGAATCTAAATCAAATTTCTAGAACTTATTAGGTATTTGGATGACTGTATTTAGAGACAGAGTCTTTAAGGAGGTAATTAAGGTTGAATGAGGTGATGGGTATGGGGGTGCACACCTGTGATCTCAGCATTCTGAAGACCAAGGCAGGAGAACTGCTGAGAGAATTCAAGGCCACCCTGAACTACATAGTGAGACTCTATCTCAAAAACAAACAAACAGACTTCCAGGAAGATCTCTGAAAAGTGACTAGCAGAGAAACAGTCTCTCTGAGATTTGATGTTCAAGTGCTGGACTATAGCGATGGGAAGAAGGGAAGGAGGAGGAAAATGGGTCCACAGCACCCAGAAAAGATCTGAAGCAAGAATCGAAGCCCATCGGGAGAGTGGTGAAAGACATCTAAGCACAGGAGGAGGCAGCAAGCAGAGTTTCCTCCCTGAGCCCTGCCTCACTATGTGGGGGTGCAGCTCCAACCAGCATACACACCGTGACTACTGGCAACCCGAGTCCTCCGTGGAGGAACACACCAGTGAATACTGCAGTGTAGGCAGTGGACTGCAGTGGCTGGTGAGTTATTCATGTTCAGCTGTCCCTCAGGAGAAGGCAATAGTCAGTAGCCATCCTGAGAGAGGCCGGCTGAGCTCACCTGTCAGAGGAGCTGCTGCCCCATCTAGCAGCTCCCAGTGTCAGGCAAGTTCAAGTCCATGGGAGATCAAGGAGCTGAGTTCAGGCTGGCAGGAGGCACACCGAGTGTTGTAGGATGAACAAATCCAGTTCCAGCCTCACCACCAGAATCCAGCCTGAACTTCAGTAGAATTAAGGGTACAGGCTTGCTGGGATTATCCATTATCTGTCCATAAATCTAAACTGGCTTGCTGTGATTAATCAACATGGATCTGGGCTGTTTGCCCACTCTGTCTACCAGGGACAACAAAGACACATCCTGAAGTGGACATTATTTTTCTTTTTCTCTTCTTTTTTGTTCTTTTCTACATTGTGACCAAGATTCAGGAGCAGTAAGAAGCAGAGAAAACAGCCTCTCTGATGGTCGCTGTGCAGATGCTGGAATATAGCATCATGAGGAAGACAAGAAAGAGGGAAGGGCCCACTGGACCCAGGAAGAATCTAATTGAAGCCAACAGAGAGAGTGAAGAGAGAAACTTCAATGAAGAAGGAGGAGGCAGCCAACGGTGTCTTCTTCCTGAGACAGGGATCTGGTCTTCTTCCTCAATGCACAAGAGGAGCCATTCAAACCTGCAGGTGCATAGTCACGGTGACAGTGATGGCTGGAGACCCTGAAGACCTCTGCAGGGAGATGCAGCAGTGGAGGGGAGCAGTGGATGTGGAGGAGGAGCACTGGATGGAGGTGAGTGCAGAGGACTTAGTCCTCCCATGGGAAAGAGCGATTGGCTGGAGATGGGCCAGCTCACTCAGAACCCAGAACTGCTGCTGGTTCCATCTAGCAGCTGCCAGCTGGGCTCAGAGTCATAGAAATTGCTCAGGTGGCAGCAAGCCCAGTGTGTCTGGGGATGGGGAAGGCCTGCTGAAATTATCCACTACCCTGCCAAAAAACTACTGCTGGCTTGCTGGACTAGATCATGCAAGCATGACTTGCAACTCTGTCTCCAGAGGTTGTCTACTAGTGAAACCAGAGAGAATACTGGAAGTGGACTGTCTCTTTTTCTTGTTTCCTCTCTCTTTCTCCTTCATTGTTTTTATATAAGTGTAAATATGGTTCCTAGCCTCTTCGTAAGTGTGGTTCTGTTCTATTCTGTTCTTCCTTTTATCTCTTCCAGCTCTCTTTTCCTTCAGTCTTTTGCACCAGTTTCCCAAAGTTGGCATGGTCCCCTTTGTCCTCCAACCTTATTTCTAATCTTTTTCTTCCACTTCTTTATTTTCTCCTTAATTCTCTTTAAATTTTAACCCTTGAGGGCAAAATTGACACATTAGGACTTACTGCATATAATTTTCTGGTTTGTTTTACATTTTGTTAAATTACTACAAATCTAGTTCATACAGTTAAAGGTGGCAAATTAAAGGTTAGCTCAGTTTGTCATTTTCTAGGCTGTATTTGACACTATTGCTAGGACTGTAGCCAAAACTGACATAATTGTTCTAAACAACTGTTGGTCCTGGTACTCCATGACTGAGATTGACAAAAGGTCATTAAAATACTGTGGCACAGTGTCAAAGGGACTAGGCCAAACAAGCAGCAATTTCTCATCTCTAACAAACTGAAGAGGTAAGATCTTCCAACAGACTCAAAACCCAAAAACCAGCTACACCTGGAAGACATTTCTAAGAAGTAGGCATTTCCTAAGTGTTCTAAATATTAACAGAAAGCTACCTGTCATAAGCAATTTACAAGAATCCACACAGAAATTAAACTAAAAAAATAGAAAATGAAAAGACACTTAGGATACAATCTCAGACTCTCAGCCTACTAAAGGCAAACCCACAGGTATATGAGGTGGGCTTCAAAAGCCGCCCACATGGACTCTCTGAAGTGGTAACAGCAGAAGTAACAAAGCAGATGAATGAGACTCTAGAAAAAAACTGAATCAGAAATAATCTCTCAGATAACTAGAGAGATGTGACTATACTGAATGACATGGTTAGTGACTCCAGAGAAGATACTGATTTTAAAAAAAAGAAGAGCTTAGGAAAATGATGGAAACCATGACTGCCCAACATAGAAAAGAAATGGAATCCATGAAACAGATTCAGATATCCAGATTAAAAATTCCACTGCAAGTATGTGCAGCAGAATGAGCCAATCTGAAGACAGAATATTAGATACAGGGCTGGGGATTTAGCTCAGCAACATAAGCACCTGCAAGTGTGTGGTCGTGAGTTCGATCCCTGGTACTGGTAAAAAAAAAAAAAAAAAAAAAAAAAAGAATATCAGATACAGAAGACAGGATTGTGGTTAATGACCATGAAAAGGAAAATTTCTTAAAAATAGCAAGGTAACATGAAAAATCAACAGGTGCTGGATGATGCAAAAAAAGTGAAATATTTCAAATGCTACAAGAAAACAACCTTCAAGTTGGATGTGGTGGGCAAGGCAGGATGATCTTTGCAAGTTTGAGACCAGCCTGGGCTACAAAGTAAGCTCAAGGACAGCCTGAACTGAATGAATAGCAAAATGCTGTCTCAAAAAGACCAGAAAGAAAAGAAAAGAACCTCCAGCCTAGAATGATGTACCCACAAAACTATCTTTCAAAATTTATAGAGAAATAAGATACTTCTATGACAAAGAATAAGAACTTCACAACCACCAAACAAGCATGCCAGAATCTTCTGAAGGGCATTCTAGAAAGAGATAACCAGGACTCCAACTCCATGAACCCAACAGAATGAATCTACAGCAAAGCAAGTACAGAGGTGGGAAGAAAGGGAGCCAATAACAGGAAAATAACGACAAGGATAACTCAATATATGTCAGCTATAACCTTCAATGGTAATGATCTCAATTTACCAATCAAAGAAACAGACTGACAGAGTAGATCAAGAAGCAAAATCCAAGCTGGGAGTGGTGGTGCATGCCTGTAAATGCCAGCACCCAGAAAGGTGAGGCAGGAGGATCACCACAAAATTTGGACTACATAGCAAGTTCAAGAACAGCCTGGACTATGTAGCAAGACCCTGTCTCAAAATCAAAAAGAAATCCATAGCCTGAAAGTCTAAGGATAGAAAGCAATACTCCATAAAACAGGAATGAAAAAAAAAAATCAGGGGTAGCTATTCTATTTACAGACAAAGGGGATTTCAACTGATTAAAGAGACATAAAGAAGGTCACTACATCCTTGTAAAAGGAACAATTCAGGAAGAAGAGGTAACAATCATAAATATATATATGCACCAAATATTAATGTACCCAACTATATAAAACAAATATTAAAGGGCTGGGGATTTAGCTCAGCGGCATAAGCACCTGCCTTGCAAGCAGGCAGTTGTGAGTTTGATCCGCGGTACCGACAAAAAAGAAAAAGACATACACACAAAAAAAATTTAAATTAAAAAAAAAGCAGTTTTAAAACAAATATTAACAGACAAGAAAAATCAAATACGCAATAATACAATTGTAATGGGAGCCCTCAATATCCCACAAATAAACAAACTAGACAAAAAATCAACAAAGAAATATCAGAACTGAACAAAACTTGTGAACAAATGGATTTAGTAGAAGTCTAGAGTGTCCCACCCTATAACCTGAGAACACACATTCTTTGAGCTGCACGCAGGATGTTTTCCAAAATCGACCACATACTAGCTCATGGAACACACTTAAGAAAATTCAAAGGAATGGAAATGATCCCATGCATATTATCAGACTATAGTGCCATGAAATTTGAAATCAGTGGCGAAAGAAACCACTTGCATAAAGTGACTTGCCCAAGGCCCTACAGTCCAGAAGTGGCAAAAGTAAAATTTGAATCTGTGCCACCTGGCAGGTAGAGGTCCCTTCATGCTCCCTGGGGGAATGGTGAGTCTTTGGGTCCTAGTTCGTGGCCCCAGACCCTGGCCTCATTCAGGGGCAGAGTCCCACATCCCTCAATAGTCCCCAAGTCCCTGCCAGCCTAGTGTCACTCACCTCCACAAGAGAAAAGGTCTCAAAGTTGGTATCGGTCAGCAGGATGGCCTTCTCATTGGGAATGCCACCCAGAATGAGCACGGGCGACTGATCCAGAGTGTACCACAGGGGCCGTGAGGAGGCATTCAGGAAGTACTGGGGTGCCAGGTCAAACAGCTGCCAGAGGAGGCCATGGAGGCTACTCAGCATTCTCCAACCTTCCCATAACTCTCCCTCATTTAGGGAAAAGCCAAAGTCCTCACCTGACCACAGCGTCCCCCACCACTTCCAGTCATCTCCCTGACCTCATTCCCTACCACTCTTTTCAGCCCTGTGGCCTCCATCCTGCTTCTCAGATGTACCAAGTATAATGTGACCTCGGGACCTTTGCACAGGCTGTTCCCTCTGCAAGAGAGGATCTTGTAAATATATGACTGCTCTGCCCTCTGAGGTTTTAATCAAGGTCAACCTTTGAGGAGACTTCTTTGCCTATTCTGTTAAATGTCTTAGTCTCCTTCTGTACTAACACATTTTTTCTCCTAGGACTAGAATTTTTATGAACTCAGTCCCTTCACACTGAACTACATCCACAGCGCTTTTATTTTAAAATTTTGAGACAGGGTCTCACTAAGTTACTCAGGCTGGACTCAAATTTGGGTCCTCCTACTTCAGCCACCCAAAGCCACCTTTTAATCTACAGTGAATGGACTCAATTTTCATATCTGGTAGTTTGGTGTCTGTCTCCCCCACTGAAATGTCAACTGTATGAGACACGGTTTGGGTACTGTGTGCTCACTACTGTGTCTCCACAATGCCACAACGTGTTCAGAATTGCTGAATGAACCAATAACTGAACCCATGAACAGTGATAAAGAATGTGGTGCAGGAGGCAGACACGGTTTGAGGCGTCCTTCCACATGTGCATGCGGAAAGATGGTTAAAAAAAAAATATGGTTCCCTTTAGAGTCTTAGCTTAGAGTTCTTGAAAAAGGATATACGAAGCCAGGCATGCTGATTTATGTCTGTAACCCTAGTACTCTGAGAGGCAGAGACAGGAAGATCACTAGTTTGAGCCCAGCCTGGACAATTTATCCATTATGGAGCCTCTGTGTCAAAAACACAGAGGGGTACATGAGAGCATTTCCTCCTAGGGTCACTGTAAAGATGGAAGCTGGTTTCACACTTGGGAAATCTCCTCGCCTAGCCCAACATGGAGACAGTGCTTGGGAATGGACAGGACCTGCTGCTTGCTTTGGGTGATCAGGGGACCAGCCCAAGGCCCAAATGGCCCCTCACCTCTGATCCCAGCGTGAACTCGATGGTGTTCTGCTGCTTCTTGAGGAAACCATTGATATTCACATGGAACCTGTGGCAGGTGTAGGCAGGTCCAGGGGAGGTCCTGTTTCAGATACAGCTCCCAACCCACTCCCCACACTCCCCACTTTTGGTGTCCCTGGCTCCCCGGGGACCTGCGGGGGAGGGGGCAGGGGCAGGCACTCCTCCCAGAGCCTGCCCCTCGTCTAGCGTGGAGAAGGGTACCTTTTACTGGGAATGAAGGGTCCCACGCCATTGCTGTAGACCTCCACCTTCACAACCACAGTACCGTTCCGGATGGGCATGGGCATGAACCAGCTCATGACACACACCTCCTCCGCCAGGCACAGCCCTGATGGGAGAGAGCACTGGGGTGCTGCCCTGCTCCCTGCTCGGGGCTCCCTGGCCCTGCTCCTACCCACCTGGGTAGCGGAAGGGGGCCGCCTCCATCCTGATCTGCAGCTGCTCTATCTTCCAGCGGTGGAAGTTCACAGAGGACTGGAAGGTGACCAACACCAGGGGCTTCAGCCCCACCAGGTGGCCACTTCGGACCAGGTCCTCGGAAGGCTGAGGGGAGATGGCCCACAGGTATTTCCTTATGGTGGCTTCCAGGTCCCACTGCCACCCTATCCCTTGGGCCAGGGCAGTGGCAGGAGGAACAGAAGGGTCCTTCACATGTGTGGAACAGCAGCAAGAGGGTGCTTAGTGCTTTCTGCCAGAGAAGGCTGCAGGGGGCCTGGGAGCTGGGCTGGGAGGACCAAGAAGAGAGATTTAAGAGCTTCTGCCACCTTTGCCTGGCCCTGCAGCCTGAGGAGCACTCTGCCAAGGACCCTTTCTATCCTTCCTCCTCCACCTGCTGTTGGGCCTGAGGCAATGTTTCCAGTCACAGGGAGCAGGTGCTGGGCGCTGGGGACTGCTTCCCTGCCAGGGCAACTATGGCCACTGCCACCCTGGCCCTTCCACTACCATCTCCTGCCTCCTCACTGTCTTTCTGCTCCTGCCTGAGCCAGATCACACCCATCCTCTGCTCAGAGCCTTCTCAGGGTTCCCTGTCACTCAGGCACCCATCATCTCCCTCAAACTGTCTTTCATGAAACTTTTTGGCACCAAAAAGACTGAGGTTCACTGCTTTAAGATACATCAAGCCAGGAATAGTGATACATGCCTGTTATCCCAGCACTTGGGAGGCTGAGGCAGGAGGATCTCTGTGAGTTGAGGCTAGCCTGTGCTACATAGCAAGTTTAAAAGACCATTCTGAATTACAGAGCAAGATCCTGTCTCAAAAAGCAAAAACAAAATAAATCAAAACAAAAAAATAAAAGATATATCAAGAAAGTGAAAAGAGGGCCAGAGATATAGCTCAGTGGCACAAGCACCTGCCTGGTAAACATGAGATTTTGAGTTCAATCCCCAGTACTAAAAAAAGAAAAAAAAAGTGAAAAGAAAACTTACAGAATGAAACAAAATATTCACAAACCATATATTTGATAAAGAACTAGTGTCAAAATATAAAAAAAATTTTACAACAATAAGAACCAATAACCCAACTTAAAAATGGGCAAAGAAGCTGGATGTGGTAGCACGTGCCTGTAATCTCAGCACTTAGGAGGCTGAGGCAGGAAGATTTTTCAAGTTCAAGGCCATACTGAAACACATAGCAAGACATTATCTCAAAAAAATGTGCAAAATATCTGAATAGAGATTTCTCCAAAAGAGAAATGGACAAAAAGCACATTAAAAGATGTTCAACATCATTATAAGAGAAACACAAGCCCAAACCAAAATAAAGTATCTCTTTGAGGGCACTAAAAATGTGGTAGTAACAAGTGTTGGTGAGACTATAGAGAAACTGGAACCTGCAAAAAAACAAACAAACAAAAAAAGAAACTTGCATACATTTCTATCAAGTGTATAAAAGGAAGCAGCTACTTTGGAACACAGTCTGGCATTCCTTTAAAAATTAAATGACTGGATCCCCAGTACAAAACAAACAATCAAAAATTAAATGACCACCAGTTGTGATGGCACATGCCTGTGACCTCAGCCTTAAGGAAACTGAGGCAGGAGGATTGCTGCAAGTTGAGATCCAGCCTGCCTACTCAGTGAGTTCAAGGCCAGTTTGGACTACCTAGTGAGACTTTGTCAAAAAAAAATGAATATTAAATGGGGTTAGTATTTGACCTAAAAGTTCCTCTCTTGGGCATGTGCCAAATATAATTGAAAACAATCGTAAACACAAAACCTTATACCTAAATGTTTATAGTAGCATTATTTAAAATAGCTGAAGAGGTGGAAATAATTCAACTGTCCACCAATTAATAATAGACAAACAAAATATGACATGTCCATATAACAGAACATTATTTAGTCATAAAAAGGAAGCACTGATGCATGTTACAACATGAATGAGCTTTGAAAGATGCTAAGTGAAAAGAGGTTTTAAAAGGTACATATTGTAAGATTCTATTTATATGTAGCTAGACATGATGGCACACACCTGAGGCAGGAGGATCACTGTGAGTTTGAGGTCACCTGGACCTAATAGTGAGTTTAAGGCCAACCTGCACTAGAAATCAAGGCAAGAAGAAGAAGAAGAAAGAAGAAGGAGAAGAAGAAGAAGGAGAAGAAGAAGAAGAAGAAGAAGAAGAAGAAGAAGAAGAAGAAGAAGAAGAAGAAGAAGGAGGAGGAGAAGGAGAAGGAGAAGGAGAAGGAGAAGGAGAAAAGAAAGAAAAGAAGGGGGCTGGGGATTTAGCTCAGTGGCATAAGCGCCTGCCTTGGAAGCAGGCAGTCATGAGTTCGATCCCAGGTACTGATAAAAAGGAAAAAGACAAAAAAAAAAAAAAAAAAAAAAAAAAAAAGGAAGAAAAGAAGAGCAGCAGCAAGAAGAGGAAAAAGAATATTTTGTTTTTTGAAAAAGAAGATTCTATATATATGGAACATTCGTTAACAGGCAAGTGTGTGGGGAAAGAAAGTAGATTCGTTCTCTCCAGGGGCTGGAGAGAAGGAGACTTGAAATGATTAGTGCCTGTTAGTAAGTACAAGGTTTATTTTGGGGCTACAAATATTGTGCAATAAAATAGTGATGATAGGTGTACACCTTTGTAAGTTTTATGAAAAAGTACTGAATTATACATTTAAAATTGATAAACTGGAAGCTAGGATGTATCTCAATGGTAGAGCACTTGCCTGGCAAAAACCAGGATAGGTAAGTGGATTCTGTAAATCTTAGTGTTCCTTTCCACTCCTAGCTCTCAGGACCCAATCCAGGGCCTCAGCCATGGGTTCCATCCCCATCAGCACGAAATAAAGCAAAAGCTGAATGTTATAGTACGTGGATATCTCAAAAAATATGGCCAAAGAGAAAAAGCACTTTACTTGAGTGGGTATTATGTGGGAACAGAGATACTAGGAACTGTACATAGATGATCCCTCCTTTTTTTTTTTTTTTTTCTTTTGAGACAGGTCTTGCTCTGTAATTCAGACTGGCCTTGAACCTACTATGTAGACCAGGCTAATCTTGAACCCCTCTGCCTCCCAAGCACTGGGATGACAGGCATGTGCCACCATACCTGCCTTTTTCTTTTCAGTAGTGGAAACTGAACTCAGTGAACACTCTACTGTGCCCCTGCCCCTTTTATTTTTTGAGACAGGTTCTCACTAAGTTGCCCAGACTGTCCCTGGACTTGCAATCCTGCTTCAGGTTCCTGAGCAGCTGGAAAGTTACAGGCATCCACACTGTGACAGGCTTGATACTCATGAATCCCTAATTACCCCAGGGTTGGATGGAGGGTGGGACACGAGACTAACAGAACTGACTCACCTGTCCCTCACAGGAATAGCTGATTTTGAGGTAGTAAGGGAAGCCCAGGTATTTCTGCAAGGAGAGGTGAGTGAAATGTTCAGGGCCAAGTGGCACTAGTTCAAGACCCTGTGAGTTCGTTTGATCCTGGTCTCCTTACCTCTTGCGGATCAATGGGCGAGTCCACCAGCATGCTGAATACGCTGTCCACAGTATCCACGAGCTCTTGATCATAGAAGCGGTCACTCACACTGATGTTACCTACCCTATCAAACCTATTCAGAACAACCTGCCAGGTGCAATCCTGAAAATCACCGGCTTTCCACTCGCTTGACGACGCCGGTAGTACCGCCAGCAGTGCCAAAAACACACGCAGGACTCGTACTCTTGGCCACACAAAACCGGTAGGGAACATAGCTGGGCAGCGCACTATGCAGCTAGAACCTGGAAAACGCAGGGGTCAAAACCCTCCTGCTGGTCTGATTTCTTCCATTGCTCCGGAACTTGGCCCCGCCCCTGCTCTTGCTCCTGACCCCGCCCCTCTTCCTGGCCCCACCCCCGCTCTTGCTCCTGACCCCGCCCCTTCTGCTAGCCCGGCTCGGGCTTTTGCTCCTGAGCCCGCCCCTGCTCTTGCTTCTGGCCCTCCCACTACTAAGGCTCCTAGCCGCGCCTGGACTCCTGCGTCTACTTTTACCCTGCTTCCTGGTCGCTTCCGTTAACCTGGCCCTGCTCCTGCTCCTTGTTCTGTCTCTTCTCGGTTTTCTTTGCCTACTCTTTATTCGGTCTCGGTGTTTGTTTTTCACTTTGACAGAGCCCCTCCTGTTTTCCCTAGTCCGGCTCCGATTCGTGATCACATCGTTGTTCCTGCGCCTGGCTCCCCGTTCACTCCTTGCTTCACGTCCCCGCTTCTCTTGGTGCTGCTTCTTTCTCCTCGCTCCAGCCCCGGCCTGAGCCCGGGCTTTACTCGGCTTCCTGCTCCCGTTCCCGCCCCTTGGGTCCCGGTCCGGCGCTTTCTCCTCGCCTCGTCCCTTTCCCTGTTTCCGCCCCCTTCTCGGGCCTTGGGTGCGCTGCTCCACCCCGGGCTTGCTCCCCTTTTTCCTCCCTTTGCCCTCCCCAAGCTCTTTGCGGGTCCGCGAACTCCCCAGCTTTTGGGCGAGCTGCTCTCCAGCCAGCCCCACGGCGGACCGCTTCTCCTTAGAGACCCTCTCTGAGCCTCGAGACCTTTCTTCCACTCTGTTTCTCTCTTCCTGTTTCTCTCTTCCTCTCTCTTCCTCTCCCAACGGTCTCTCCTCCCGTTGGAATCTATGCTCTAGCCTGCACTTCTCATCTCCTCTGGATCTCTGCTCTGTATGGGTCTTGCCCTCCTCACCCCGGCCCGTCTCCTGAAAGACCTTGTCTTCGCCCAGGGATCGCACATCACGCCAGGATCCCTTTTGCCCTCGGGGTCTCTTCTTGCCCCTCAACCTCTCTCCTCGAGGTCTCTCCTCGCCCAGGGATCTCTCTCCTTGAAGTCTCTCCTGGTCCCACGATCTCTCCTCTCCTCGAGGTCTCTCCTCGCCCCGCGATCTCTCTCCTTGAAGTCTCTCCTGGTCCCACGATCTCTCCTCTCCTCGGGGTCTCTCCTCGCCCCGCGATCTCTCTCCTTGAAGTCTCTCCTGGTCCCACGATCTCTCCTCTCCTCGGGGTCTCTCCTCACCCCGCGATCTCTCTCCTTGAAGTCTCTCCTTGTCCCGCGATCTCTCCTCTCCTCGAGGTCTCTCCTCGCCCCGCGATCTCTCTCCTTGAAGTCTCTCCTTGTCCCACGATCTCTCCTCTCCTCGGGGTCTCTCCTCGCTCCGCGATCTCTCTCCTTGAAGTCTCTCCTTGTCCCGCGATCTCTCCTCTCCTCGAGGTCTCTCCTCGCCCCGCGATCTCTCTCCTTGAAGTCTCTCCTGGTCCCACGATCTCTCCTCTCCTCGAGGTCTCTCCTCACCCCGCGATCTCTCTCCTTGAAGTCTCTCCTTGTCCCGCAATCTCTCCTCTCCTCGAGGTCTCTCCTCGCCCCGCGATCTCTCTCCTTGAAGTCTCTCCTTGTCCCACGATCTCTCCTCTCCTCGGGGTCTCTCCTCGCTCCGCGATCTCTCCATTCCTCGAGGTCTCTCCTTACCCTTCGATCTCTCTCCTCCGAGCGTCTCCTCGCCCCGCGAAGTCTCTTCTCCTGGGGGTCTCTCCTCGGCCTGCCATCTCTCCTCTCCTCGGGGTCTATCCTCGCCCCGCGATCTCTCCCATCGGGGTCTCTCCTCGCCCCGCCATCTCTTCTCTCCTCGAGGTCTCTCTTCACCCCACAATCTCTCCTCTTCTCGGGGTCTCTCCTCTGCTCTAGATTTCTCCTCGTCGCGGGCCTTACCGTCCTTGCGAGACGACTTCTCCTCACCCCGACCCTTTTCATAAGAGACCGCGTCTTCGCCCCGCGCTCTCTCCTCGCCGCTGTCTTGAGCTTTCCCCTCCATGCTGATCTCTCCTCGCCCTGCGCCCTCCTCGTTTCACGCTGGCTTCTCGACCCTCACCCTCCCCTAGAATCGGAACTTTCACTTCTCACCTTCTCACCTCCCCTTTCCTAGGCCTGGTGACCGCCTGCTCCGCAGCCTGCTGTGCGCTCCGCCTCTGCCCAGCCCGCCCCGCTCCTCGTAGCCACGCCTAGCTCCTGGCTCCTCCTTTCTCCCCAGCTCCCTGCCTGCCCCTTCCCCTTGTATGCCGGGTTCCGCTGCTCTTCACTTTCCTGAGCCTTTCCCCTCTTTGTCGCCCCCCACCCCACCCTCCCCCTTCCCCGCCCCCCGCATCCCCCCGGGATGGCGCCGCCTGCTTCTCCCGGCCCCACTTACCAGTCACTTGGTTAACACTGGTCAACCGTTGCTCGGCAGCGCCTGTCCCACCCCGCTTGCCCGGAGTCAAAATGGCCACCTTTTTGTCTACAGCCGGTTTCCCCTTTCTCGAGCTGCGCCTGCGCGGCATCTCTGTCTCCATAGCAACGCACCTCAAGAGCCGTCCAAGGCTCCGGGGCGGGGCTCAAGCACCTAGGCCGAGATTGAGCCGCCCCGGATCTAAAGCACTGGCGTTGACTGAAATTTGTGTTAATACGGCAAGGAGTTCCTAGTGTCTATTCTGACAATGAGCACTGTCCCTGCGTGTCTTTAAACTCAAAAATTATGCGAAAAAAGTTAGGTCTCCTAGATACCTTGTAGTAACGAATTAATCTGCTTAATGATTTTGTTTTTCAGTGCTGGGGCTTGAACCTGTGTTTAACATGCTAGATAAGCTAGTGCTGATAGAGATAGGGCGTGGAACGCTGGCTGGGGAAATCAGCAGGACTTGCTAATTTCAGGATCCCAGGGCTGTGCTGGATAACTCAGCAACTTCTTGCCAGGTCCCAGGAGATCTGGGCGGCAGAAAAAAAAGGAGACCCCGTGAAGAGGTTTGCTAGTGCAACCTCCCACGATATCCTGTCCCAGAACCAGTATGTACCTTTTTAGCGGGGTGGAAGAACTGAACTCAGGATCTTGTGCTTGCCAGGCAGGCACTGTGCCACTGAGCTATATCGCTGGCCTTGGGATGCACTTTTGTTGTAACTTCTCTCTTTCTCTCTCTGTCTCTCTTTCTCTCTGTCTGTCTCTCTGTCTCTGTCTCTCACCTCTGTACATCTGCAGAGCTAGTTCTTCCTTTATCCCTTCACCCTTCATTTAATTATTTTTTTGGTATCGAGAATCGACTCAGGACTTTGCACTTGCTAGGCAAATGTTTATGCTGTTGAGCTGTATTCCCCGCCTTCACTCTTCACTTTAAAATAAACTTCTGGCATCGGTTTTAGTTTGTCTCATCCAATTCCTTGTTCGATGCAAGAAGAACCTGGAGGACTTTTGTTTGGTGAGTCATTTTCAAAGTAACTACCTGAAAACAGTGCCACACACCTACTACCCCTAATCTACACCTTAACCTCATCTAAAAGTGTGGAGATGGGCATCCCTTTCATATAAGTATTGAGGCACGGGTAAAAGATAAAAAAATTTTTTTGGTAACAGGCATAAAACTCATGACCTTGTGCTTGCCAGGTGGGCACTTGTGCCACTGAGCTAAACCGCCGGCCCTAAAAAATAAATTTTAAAATTTATTATTAAATCAATGAAGCCTTCAGACCAATTTTAAGGATTGTTAAATAAAATGTGTAGGAGGCCATTACTTTGGACTGAGCTCCTGTACTTGGTCCAACTGTTCAAACCAAAATGTGGTCATTCATGCCGAAGTTCCATGTTGCCCAGTGGAAATTAAGTTTATCTGATCTTCTGAGCAATCAGAATTTTAAAAGTCAAATCCTCATACAGGACAGTTTTAGCTAGGAGTCCCTCTACTTTAACCCTTTCAAGGAAAGTAACTCTGAAACAAGCTGATTGAAGGTAGGGCCTTTGCCTTGAGCTACATCTCCAGTCCCTTTAGAAAATATTTGTTTAGACACAGAGTCTAGCTAGTCACTAAATTGCCCAGGGGAGACTTAACTTTCCAATCCTCCTACCTCATCTTCCCAGAGGACTGGAGTTACAAGTGTGCACACCATGCTAGACTATCCTGTGCAGTTTTTAAGATTTTTCCCTCCTGCACTCGGGGGTTAAAGCCAGTGCCTGCCTAGTTTTTTGTTCTCTGTTTCTTCCCTCAATCTTCTGTCTGTAAAACTAAATGACCTCGTTTTCTTTGAGGTTCTACCTGATTTTGAAACCTGAATAAACCTCACGGTTTCACTTGCTGTCACTTGTTACTTGGCTTTAAAAATCACTGATTTGGAGGCCCCAAGACTGAGCAGTGTTCTTAATCTCCCAACTAGCTTTGCTGTGATGATAGTTACCTAGGTTACTTTTCAGGGACTTAGAAGAAAAATTGTATAGAAAACTTGGACCCTTCACTTGAACCTGTGCAAGCATCAGATGGGTGACTTCTCTGACTTCAGGAGAAGTCAGGGAAGGAGGCAGAAAAACTCTACCTCAGATCACACTGCCATTTTCTGAACATGTGACTCGTGTCCTAAGAACTATGAAAACCGGTTACACATGTGCAGACTACTGATGGTTTCACTTCCAACCACCTTTCCTTCACCTTGAATCAGCCTGTTCCTGGAACCCTGTACATATCCCTAAACCCTGTCCTTGGGGAGGCAGATTTGAGATTCACTGTCTTGTCTCCACACTTGCTGCCTGATAAATAAACTTATCTTTCATTTCTGTGATTATACTACACAGGTGAAGAGTAGAACCAATTCAAAAATCACAAATAATAAAAAATTAAGAAATTAAAAATTTAAAGTCAATTAAGGCCTTCAATCTCAGTTTGTTGTAGCCAGGCATGGCAGCACACCCCAGGAATCCAAGCACTCAGGAGACTGAGGCAAGAAGATTGCTGTGCGTTGGAGATCAGCCTGAACTGTATAATGAAAACCTGCCTCCAAAAAAAAAAAAAAAGACTAAATAAATAAATTCATTGTAATTGTTTCTTTTGATAGGACCTAGACCATGACTTTTCTTTTTAATGAAGTACAAAATGACAATAAATGTCGGGCGCTCAACACACCCCGCCCTGGACGATAAGACCACGGGGTCAGCGTCCGCAATGCGTTAAGTCCCTCTTTAAATTAGCCAACCCCTGCGCACCTCCTGCTCACTCCGTATTCGACCGTGCGGACTCTGTGGCAACCCCTGATTGGCCACAGCTGGATATATTAGCCAGAGCCTGCGTCTCATTCCCACCCTGCTTTCTCGTGGCGGCCTGTGATTGGTCACGGCCGAATATATAAACCAGAGCCCGCTAAATAAAGCGGCAGTTCCTGTTACCACCTGAAGCGTTTCCTGTCTCATTGGGGGGCTGCGCGGGTCATATAAACCAATGCTTTGGAAATTTGAGTTTACTTCACATGAAATTCCGCAAAAAGTCTGCTTCAAAGAGGCTGGTGGGCGTTCCATGCAGAGGGTTTGCTCAGGTAGGTCTGGGGTGGAACCAAGAATTTGTATCCTAGTGAGTTCACAGGGAATAGGGTCCTATGGCCTAGGGCCCACACTTCGAGAGCCAGAGCTCTGGGACCTCTGTGTGTACCTAGACATCAGGAAAACATCCAGAAACCTCAGAGGTTCCCAGAGCCCTGAGTGACCTCATCCCTGCCCTTTTTCCATACAGATCCCTATTCTGTAGCCAAGTGGCATGGAATGACCTGAATATCCCTGCACAAGTGCCATCTGCCCCAGACCCATGCACACGCCAACACCTCTGCAACGCTCTTTCCTGCCATGTCATGTCGCCATGCTGGCCCCTTCCCTCCCCTCAGTCTTTTTGTTTTGTAAAATGCTGAGGATCCAGTCCAGGGTTGCCCACATACCACCTCAGTGCTCTGTCACCAAGCTGCACCCTCAGCCCTCCTTTGTCTGGTCTATGACACACGACAGGCATGCACCTTGCCTTTTGACTATTATAAACCATAAGTAGCTAGAGACAAGTTCTTGTGGAGGATTTTTTGTTTTTATTTTTGATTCGTTATTTGAGATAGGGTCTTGCTCTGTGGTTTAGGCAGGGCTTTTACTTGCAGCAACCCTCCTGCCTCAGCCTCCTAAGTGCTGGGATTACAGACTTGCATCATCACGCCCAGTTTGGGCATGATATCTGAAGTATGCTCTGGTTTCAAAAAGTAAGGTACAGAAATGAAGATAATATAATAGAATGTATTATTAAAATATTAATATTTTATTTCATCTATAATACAAAGAGGCAGAATGCAGAAAAAAAAGAAGAAAAATTGGGCAACATTTGTTTGGCTCCCAGGGGCTTCTCTGATGGCTTTACAGGTATTATGTTGTTGACTGTTTCAGGTCATGAGGTAGTGTGTTTGCAGCCCATTTTACAGGTGAGCAGACAAAGACACAGGAAGGCAAGTTCACTTGCCTACAGCTACACAGCCTGGGAGTGATGGGCTTCAGACTTGGACCCAGGGCCTCTGCCTCAGGAGACTGCAATCACTACAATTCCCATGCTAGGACTCACTGGTGTACATGTGCATACTGCTGCACAGAGCATAGCAGGAAGGGGACAGAGGTGCCCACAGAGTACAGGGAACAGACAAACCTGCTCCATGTAGTCTCAGCACCCCCAGTTATCATCAAAGTGTTTACCATGTACTTTTTTGTTGCTCAGTGTCTTGAACTGAACAGGACCTGCGTTTCAGTGTTCTTTCTCTAGGAGTAGTTAGAAGGAATCTCGGGCAAGAGTGGAAGCACACAGGCGCCTCCTTTAAGAAGATAAGAAGCGAGCCACTGCAGTGGTACACACCTGAGTTCCTGGTGCTTATAATCCAGCACTCAGGAGACTGAGGCAGGAGAATCACTGTGAGTTCGAGGTCAGGCTGGGCTATGTACTGCCTTCAAGGCCAGCCTGATTACATAGTGAGACCTTGTCTCAAAACAAAACAAAAGCCAAGAAGATGAGACACAACTGCCTCTCCACCCCATAGTGACTTTGGCAGTGAGGTCAACGATGACCCTGGTAAGAAGCTGAGAAGCCTGCGAGGCTAAGAGAGAGGATAGACACTGGGTATTCTGAACTTCTGTGGAAAAGGTACCAAACAAAACTTGTTCAGATCCCAATTTTACACTTTCTGTGTGATTTTGGGCAGGTCACTTACCCTCTCTGGGCCCCTTTCCTCACCTGTAAAATATGGAGCAAGTATATAATTCACAGGATTGCAGAGAGGGTGAAACATACATAGTGCTTAGAGTCAACCCTGGATAAGGATTTCTTATCACTGTTATTAGAACAGTCTTGCATCACTTTTTAGCAAGGATTGACAGCATTGATTATCCCTCCTTAAAATTCTCACTTCTGAGCCAGGCATTGTGGTGCACACCTGTAATCTCAGCACTTGAGAGGCTGAGGCAGGAGGATTGTTGTCAGTTCGAAACCAGCCTGGCTACAAAGTGAATTCAAGGCCAGCATGAATTGCATAGCAAGACCCTGTCTCAAAATGACAAAAAAAATTCTCAATTCTGTTACTAATACTGTCCACCTTCCTGGTGTTCCTATCCCTCTGTGCCTTGCACTCCTTTTCCACCTCCTTTATAAGCTCTTCTTTCTGGTACTTGTCTAAAGGGTTGCTGCTTGCATGAGACATTATCCTGTCTGGTTGTGATGCCTGGATCTGTGGCAGTCATTTGGGATCATGACGGGGGCACTCATAGGAGCCAAACCTGCAGCTGAGGGTGACTGAGCAGAGACAGAGGGAACCTGTGGCCATAAGACCCTGCCATTGCTGTGGACAGAATCATTCCCAGAGATCTCCCCATCTTTGTTGATGTGCAGTATAACAACTGTCTTATTTCAAGGTTTTGTTCACCAAAACCAAAATCTGTCCTGTGATAAAAACAAAATATAAGCACCTTTTGCTTCATACTCATAGCTGGTCTCTGTTCACTCCCTCCTGGGCCTGAACTCCCACATCAACATTTCCAGCCTTGAGCACCTGCAGAGTCCTGACTCTGCGGCTAAGTGACCACCTAATGCCCCACTTCTGCTGCCCCTTCAGTTGATCTATCGATTTATCCATCTATTGATCTATCCATTTATCTATTTTCACAGTCCTGGGAATTGAATCTAGGACCTTACTGCTGAGCTACAACCCCAGCCTTTTTTTGTATCAAGGAGCGAACTCACGATCTCACACTTGCCAGGCCAGTGCCGTGCCACTGAGCTGTATCCCTGGCCTGCCTCAGTGTTTCACTAAGTCACTAAATCACTTACGTTGGGGTCAAATTTTTGATCATCCTGCCTCACCTCTCAGAGTGCTGGAACTAAATCATATCCTGTTCCTAGCTCATTTCTGTCACCTTCACAGCATATGCAGAGCTGGAAAGCACAGCAAGGGGCCCTCTCAGGAGGTGGCAGGATTGGGGCCTGAACCTGAAATCAATCACATCCTCATTTAGCAACTAAGCCAAGAGGTTGCCCTTCCTACACCTCCGAGTCATCGCTGTAGAAAGAGGATAATATTATTTCCCTCAGAATATAAAGTACCAAAAAAAAAAAAAAGAATATAAAGCACCCAGAACAAACCTGGCCAAAGAGAATGTCACCTAATAACATAGCAGGCTCCGCAAAACTGATTTTTGAATGGTCAGCCTATGGTCATTCTTTTATAGAAACAGCCTGACAGGTAGTGTGGCTGCCTGGGACACAGCTGCCATACTGGAGTCATGTTAGAAGCAGCACCTTCCCATGCCATCAGGATCTGCACTGGGGGCCTGTGTCCCTTGCTGCCCGGCAGGCTGCTGAGGCCGGATGCTGCCACCCAGGCCCACTCCAGGGGTTTCTGCATGGGTGCTATTACCTGGAGATTTGGGAGGGGGGTACCGGGGATCGAACTCATGACCTTGCACTTGCCAGGCAGGCGCTTATGCCACTGAGCTAAATCCCCAGCCCTATTCCCTGGAGACAACTGAGAAAAAAATACACCAGGGACACTTCTTCTCCTGACCACATCTCACATTAATAGGTCCTAGTTAAATTTGTTTATAGTCCCAGGAATGGAACCCAGGGTTTCACATGGGGCTACACTCTAGCCCTTTATTTTTAATATTGAGACATGGTCTTACTAAGTCACTAAGTTACTAAGGTGCCCAGGCTGGACTTGACCTTGCATTTCTACCTCAGCCTCCTAGGTGCTGAGATTACAGGTGTGCTCCACCAGCTAGGTCACAGTTGAACTGTCACTTCTTCTGGGAAGCCCTCCCAGAGGGCTCTACTTCCCCCCACCCCTGCCACTATGCCTATGCTTTCTCCATGGCACCGGATCTCTCTGGTACCTCCACTAAAGTCCCACTTCCTTGGGGCTGTCACAGAGGACAGGTCTATCTATTGCACTGGTCTGTAGGCCCCGTGAAAGGAGAGCCCAGGGACACTCCCACCATTATATGTCCCCAACACTGTCTTGCATAGGGCCAGCACAAAGGAAGGCTCTTTGGAGGAATGACCAATTTCTTTCCATATGACATCCAGGGAAATCAAGGTTCAGAGAAGGACAGTCACTTGACCAAGACAAGGTGACCAACCTAGGGCCAGAATGAGGTTGAGGCCCAGAGCCTGGTAGAGTCAGTAGTTGATCAGTTGCCAAATGAGAAACAGAACGAGTGAGGGGATGAGACAGAGACGGCAGGAGGCAAAAACACAAACAGTGTGAATGATGGAGCGCCACATGGGCTAGAGTGTGAGGGAAGTGGACAGGGTCATCCTGGTGCCCAGAGACTCAGATAGTGGCCATCCCTGCCGTTCTCTCTGTTACTATAAAATACAGGAAGAGATAGACAGTTGGTGACAGGTGTGGACATTCGAGTCTGGTCAGCTATCCCTGGGTCCTGCCACCTCTCAGCACCTGCCCAGCTACCTGGGGATGGAGGCGTAGTCATTATGGGAGCTGGCAGAGAGCCGTTGGTGCAGGTCCAGTTGGGGGTCCGGAATTTCCACCTGGTCATCCTCCTCCTCTTGGAGGCTGGCAGGGCATGGACGGGGCAGCAAGATGAGCTCTGTCAGACCGTGGAGGTCCGACACGTGGCGGAAGGTCTGTAGCACCAGCATCATGGCGATCAGGCCCAGGAAAAGGTACACTGTGGGGACATTCGGAGAGGCACTGGGTCCATGTAGGCTCTGATCCCTGGGGTAAGGGTACAGTCCTACAGTGTCTCCAGGCTGAGGCTGGGTCACTCTCGGAACCCAGCAGATGCCCCCCTGGGATAAGACAATGCCTGGGCCCCCAGAGACCCCACTCAACCACCAGCTCACCTGTGACCAACACCTTGTAGAGGGCCCGGTAGGGCTGGCCCGGGGCCTCCCCAGGCACGTAGTCTCCCAGGCCAATGGTGGACAGAGAGATGAAGCAGAAGTAGAAAGCATCCAGGAAACTCCAGGCCTCTTCCAGGTATGCAAACACCATGGCTGGCACCAGGAAGCAGGTGGTCATTACAACAGCCAGCAGAGCCACCAGGTGCCATCGGGCTGCCCGCCGGGGGTCCCAGCCCCAGTGGAAGCTCAGCCAAGACAGGGGTGTGTGCGTCAGCAGCGCCAGGTGCTGGGCAGTGGCGGTCAGCAGCAGCATGGTGGTTGGCACACCCAGGAGTGCAAAGGCGATGGAGAAGCCCTTGCCTGCGTCAGTCAGTGGCGTGGTGTAGCCATAGCCTGCAGGGCAATTGGGAATCCTCCTGCCCACTCAGCACCTCTGCTTAGGTGGCTGTGGACACCCCAACCCAGCCCTGACTTCATTCCCAGTACTCACCCCATGTCCCCTGGGGGAGGGAGTGCAGTGGCTACACCAGGACATAGGCCCTGCGCCACAGGCCATGGCTTGTTCTGTAACCAAGGGCAACCTGGGTACATCTGAGACTTAACACTGTGCTTCCTTGTTGCTTACATTACTGTTTTCAGTCCAGTGTGTGGTACATGCCTGTAATTTTTTTAAATTTTATTTTGTTTGAGACAGGGTCTCACTCTGCAGTTCAAGCTGGTCTTGAACTCACTATGTAACCCAGGCTGGCCTTGAACTCTCAGCAGTCTTCCTGCCTCAGCCTCCCAAATGCTAGCACTACAGGCATGTGCCATCACACCCTGCCTGATCTCATTTTTTTTTTACATAAGTAAACTCTGGAAGACAAATCTGTTCACGTTTATAGCAGCATTATTCACAACAGCTAAAACACAGAAGAAACACGAATTTCCACTGATGGATTAACGGACAAGCACAACATAATACATACAATCCAACAGGTCTGTTCTTAGCCTTAAAACGGAAGGCAGCTGTGACACATGGTGCAATGTAGGTAAACTCTGAGGACGTGCCCAGTGAAAACTCCAGTCACAAAAACAAAAAGCTGTATAACTACAGCACGGTAGGTAAAGCAGTCAGATTCAGAGGCAGAAAGGGGAACTGCGGTTGCCAGGAGCTAGAGGAAAGGGGAATGAGGAGCTTTGTTTGAAGACCACAGTTTCTGGTTTGCAAGATGAAAAGAATTCTGGGTAGATGGTGATGATAGGAGTCACCAACCATGCCGGTGCAGCCTATAATCCCAGCACTCAGGAAGCTGAGGTAGGAGGATCTCCAGTTCAAGGCCAGCCTGGACTACATAGGGAGACCCTGTCTCAGAATAAAAAAAGAAAAAAAGGATGGGACTAGGTTGGATCCCTAGTACCAAAATAAACAAACTTGTCCTCAAATGTAGCAGAACCTACCAGGCTGGGACACAGCTTTGTACCTACCAAGAGTGTGAAGAGTTACAACAAATTGTAATGCTACTTTTTTTTTTTTTCTAAACAAGGAACCCAAGTCCTCATAAATGCCAGATCATTGCCCCAACCAGTAACAATGTCTGTAACACTAGCTTCTTCCCTCACCATCACTGTCAGAGGCCCCTTGCCAGGATGCCTGGAGCAACCCCCAGGGCCAGGTCTTAGAAGACTTGGGCTTAGGACCAAACTGAGGACTCAGGACAGGGAGGGCTCTGAATGACATTTGGGTGGTGAACATTTCTCCGGCTACAGTCCGTGCACCCAGCTCCTCCAGGATGACAGTGACCACTGAGGCTCTGTAAGTATGGATTATCATCACCACACTTCAGGGATGCCTCATCGGCCAAACTAGTTTGGCTCCTCTGAGCCCTGTTCTCACCGTGTGTGTGTGTGTGTGTGTGTGTGTGTGTGTGTGTGTGTGTCTGTCTGTCTGTCTGTCTGTCTGTCTGTCTGTCTCTGTGGAGGACTGAACCTAGCACCTTTGCACTGAGCTATATGGTTCTTTTTTTTTTTTTTTTTTTTTTTTTTCCCTAAGGCAGGGTCTCACTGTGTGTTTTAGGCTGGTCTTGAACTATGTAGCTCAAGCCCCAAACTCAGAGCAATCCTCTTGCTTCAGCATCCAGAGCACAGAGATTACAAGTATGTGCCACTGTACCCAGCTTCCAGACCATTTTTCATTTCCTATCTTGAGTCAGGGTCTCATAGTTGCTAAGTTGGGCTCAAACTTGCAATTCTCCTACCTCAGCCTCCCTGGATGCTGAGATTGCAGGCATGTGTCACTACACCTAGCTAACTAAGTTCAAGTTTAGCAGGAATCCTCAGAATCCCCATCCTTGTTTTCCCATCAAACTCATCATCCCACTCTTGGTATCTCTGTTACTGGCCTGTGTACTGCAAGCATCATTTGGGCTGGTGTGGAGCAGAGCTTCTATATACCATGTGAGAGGCCTGGGTTTCATCACCACCACAAACAAAAAGAATCTTGTTAGTCCAAATTGACCAAGAATTCTAAGTGATGACAAAACTTTTAGAGATTGCAATGTTATAAACAGACCCCTGCACCATGTGTGCCATAGTTTCACCACCACTACCCTGTCCTCACCAAGATAAAGAGCTTTATGGGGACACTCAAGTAGGGACACTCCAGCCATTGTCCTAAACCTGTGATCACCTGGATTCCAGGAAAACCAGAGCCCCACAGCTGCAATCACCCAGAACAGAGATGCCCTTTCCTAGTCCCGACCGTCAACCACAAGGACCTCAGAGCCAGGGAACTAGGCCAGAAAACATCACCCCAACCAGCTGGTCCTTAAAGCTGGCCTTGTCCCTGCAGGGTGGCGGTCTGATCCCCTTCGGAGTATCAGAGCGTGTGCTCCAGATGCTCATGCGGCAGTGCTTCCCTGTCCTTCGTACTCTCCTCTGTTACTGGCCTAATCTTTGACCACTGCTCAAGCTAAAGTTTTTGATCATTTTCTCTTACTTTCTATCTTTCTTTTGTTGATTGGGGGGGGGGGTCCCCAGGAATTAACTCAAGACCTCACATTTGCCAGGCAGGTGCTGTGCTGCTGAGTCATATCCCCAGACCCTCTCTTACTTTTTTTTTTTTTTTTTTTTCTTTTTTCTTTTTCTTTGTTTTGGTACTGGGGATCAAACTCACAACCTCCTGCTTGCCAGGCAGGCACTTATGCTGCTAACCCCCTAACTTTCAATTAAAGCTTTTTCCTGCTTAAAAACCAGAGTCCCATTAAAAAAAAAAAAAAAAAAAAAAAAACCAGAGTCCCAGCCAGGCATGGTGGCACACACCTGTCATTCTAGCGCTTGGAAGGCTGAGGCAGGAGACTTGTTTGCAAGTTCGAGACCAGCCAGGGCTACAAAGTGAGCCCAAGGCCAGCCTAAACTACACAGTGAGACCCTGTCTCAAAAAAACACACATACACACACAAAAAACCCAGTCCCCCTGCCTGGCAAGCCCAAGGCCCTTAGTTTGTTCCCCAGTACCAAAAAAAGAAAAAAACAAGAGTCCCCTCCATCCCACCCGACCTGTGCTCAGTAGTCTTATGTCCAGTACCCTTACCCTGACTCTTGCTGTGTAACAGTTGGGTTCTACAGCACACATATCACCCTTCTTTCCTTTTTTTTCTTTTTTTTTGGGGGGGACAAATCATTATTCTTCAGGTCCAGTAATGTTGAAACCAAGCCATATGACAGTGACTTCCCTGTTTTCAAAAACTGTGCAAGCTATTGTTCAGGACAGAGGCACAGAACCCTCAGGCCTAACCTAAAGGGACTTTGACTTCCTAGTAAAACCACAAATTCCACTGAGTGAGCAGAACCAGAATAAAGGAGTCAGAGAACCCAGATTAGAAGCAAGGAATTCAGTCCACAGTGGCAGGAGCAGGGCAGGCATGATGGCTCACACCAGTAATCCCAGTATACAGGGGGCTGAGGCAGGATGGTCCTCATGAGTTCAAGGGAAGCTTCAACTATAGAATGAGTGTAAGACCACCCCAAAGTACATAGCAAGACCCCTTCTCAAAAAGCGAAAACAAAACAACAATGGCAGGAAAGACCAGAATTAGCCCGAGTTCCCCTCAACCCCTGTGTCAGGTGAAAGCTACTCAACTGTGACTCCTATTTTCCCTTCCCCAGAGCTGCTTGGACACCTTCACCATGGCCCATTAGGCAGACAGAGCTGAGCACTCCCCTGCCTCCCTGCCACTCAGACTCCCAGAAAGCTTTCTTTTTGCAAAAGGTCAGTGACAGCATTGGCTTCCATGAGCCCTGGGCAGCGAGCCCTTGCTCAGTCCTGTGTGTCCAATAAAGGCACTGGACTCTGGGACCTGATGGCCCTGATTCAAATCCACTCTACACCGTCCTAGCTGTGTGACCTTTGGCTAACTTTCCGACTTCCCTGGGCGTCAGTTGCATTTGTATGTTGTGCTGATAAAGTCAGTTAAAGCCCAAATGAGGTGAGTCTTCTGTCAGGCCCTCACTATTCCTACACAGTGAGGAGTGTCCTTAGCCCATTTCACAAAAGGAGGACACTGTGGTCTGCAGATGAGGAGCCATCGAGCCAGACCACCAGTCAGCCTCTGTTGGGGCTGACTCCTTAGAAGCCGGGATCTGCAAGGAGGCAGAGGGTGGCACCTGCCACCCAAGGAAGTCGGGGAGCAGGTCAGGCGGGTCCTGGCAGCATGGATGCAGCAAGCCACAGGTGAGGCCAGCTCATGCCAATTTGGGAGGATCACCAGCTCCACCACCTGTGACCTTACTCTGCTGCTCGGCAAAATGGGTAACAAAGGGCAGGTGGCAAAGCCACCTCCTGTAGCTGCGCAGGGGGCTGCAGGAGGAGTCAGGCTTTGGGACCAGCCTCAACCCTGTCCCAAAGAGGACAGCTGGGGCTGGCACCAGCTGCAGAGCAGAGAGCCTGACCTCCGGGTTTCCCAGGGCTGTGGGGTGGAACAGGACGGGACTTCTAGGGTCAGAGATCTCAAGGGCTGGGAGGTGCAAGTAGTGTGGATTCCAGAGCCTCACTGAAATGGGAGCTCAGAGAAAGGGGCCTAGGATTTCAAGATCTTTTTCATTTTTATTTTTTGCAGTCTGGGGATTGAAGCCAGGGCCTTCTTTTATATTTTATTTTGAGACTGTGTTTCTCTAAGTAGCTAAGTTGCCCAAACTTACAGTTCTCCTGCCTCAGCTTCCCAGAATACCATGTCAAGCTTAGGAGTCACAATCTTTCTTTTTTTTTTTTTTAGACAAGATCTTGCTGGGTCTTGAACTTACTATGTAACCAGGCTGTTGACCTCAAACTCATGGCAATCCTCTTACCTCAACCTCCTAGGTACTGGGATTTCAGGCATATGCCACAACACCTGGCTAGGAGTCACAACTTTAAATCAAGGACCACTGGGGATGGTGGCACCCATCTGTGATCCCAGTACTCAGGAGACTGAGGCAGGAAGATCACCATGAGTTCAAGGCCAGCCTGGACTGCATAGTGAGACTATGTTGACAGACAAAGACAGAGAGAGAGAGAGTAATGGATCCTGAGTCTTGGGCCCAAAGGAAGGAGGTCTTCTGGGAGTTAGTGTCTTCTGGCAGTTAGTGTCTTCTGGGATACAAATGGGATTGGGAGGGGAGTCCTCAGGCAGGTGACAAGGTGGGGGACTGACTGAGCTTCAAGGGAGCAGTATGCTATGTCTGGAGTGGGTGCTGGGAAGGGTTCTAGATGCAGAGGGCCTGAAGTGTTGTTGATGGAAACAATTTCAGGTCCCAAACCAGCCGAGGCTGTGGAAGGGGTGCAGGGAGGCCCCAGCTATGTCTGCAGGAGCCCCAAGTCCCCAGAGGAACCCCTTGTTTGGGAAGCCCAAGGGACAGAGCCAAGTCCGTGGGCTAACATGGGGAGGGGGCTGTTTCCTTGACATCCTGGAAGGCTCTGGGGGCCACATAGGAGGTCAGTGCTTTTACTGAGTAGTGTCAGGGTTCAGAGAGGGGTGAGAGTCTCAGTTCATGGGTATAGATGCCTTCCTGAGAGGTCCTTGGCTTGTAAAGGGCCAGAGCTTTTGCTGGAGGTGTTTTGGGGACAGAAGAGGTGGAAGTCCATGCTGGGAGTCCATGGTCTTTGCTGTAGGGTGCTCTGGTTCCCACCAAGGTGAGTCCCCTTCACACACCAACACTTACTGGGGCTGCTGAACTGTGGTCCCAGGCAGAGGGGATAGTGTTCCCTGCCCTACAGGGAAGCCATCAAGAAGGTTGTGGTCCCCTGACAGAGTCAAGGTAACTGGCTGGGGGGAATAGTCCTAGGAGATGGATGGGGTCCCCTTGGGGGTGAGAATTTCAGAGGGGGGTCTTGGGTCCTGGTCCAGGGTTCCCTCCTAGAAGAAACACCGTTAGTAGTGGCACCCTGAAAAACCTGGGGGTCCCTATTCGTGTGCCAGGATCAGGAGAATGTGGGGTGGAGTGCTCTGGAAGAGCCATATCCAGTGAGTCAGAAGACATTTGGAAGGAAAGGCTGGGCGTCCTGACAGGGCTGAAGCCCCTGGACAGAAGGGCAGACTCTTAGGTAAAGGGTCCAAGGCTGGTCACTAACGTTGTCCAACGCCCAGAGAGGACTGGAGAGACCCAGATCCTCGAGAGCATTAAGATGCTCGGTGTAAGGCATTCCTGATGAGGGGGAGCCCAATCCCGAGGGAACTGGTGTTTTCTGCTTTGCAGGAAGGGCTTGGAAGGATCCCAAATGACCACCACTAGCGCTCACTAGGTATCCTAAGGATACCCTAGGTGCACAGTGGAGTGGGATAAGGAGACTCATCAGAGCCTCGGGTCCCAAAGTACAGGACCAAGGTGGGGATCCCCATCCTCGCCCGCCCAAGGCAGGGTGGCGCTCACGTACCCACCGTGGTGACCAGCGTGCTGGCGAAGAAAAGTGCCGAGGCGAAATCCCAGGCCGGGTCCGAGACGTTGGTGGCCCCCGAGGCGTTGGCGAGCACGGAGCGCGCCAGCCGCCCGGCCGCCAGAACCCGCTCCACGAAGGCATCCAGCACCGGGGGCTCCACGCACGGGCTGCGCCGCAGCAGCTGCTCCCGCAGCGACCCCAGCTCGGCCCGCAGCCTAGCCTCGTGCGGCCGCTCCAGCCACGCCACAAGCAGCGCGCCCAGCGCCAAGTACGCGGCGTAGGCGACCAGCGCGATCGCCAGCAGCGCGCCCCGCCGCATGGCGCTCCGCGCCCGCACAGCCCCGGGCTGCAGCTGACGTGGCCCCTGCCGTCCCGAGCCGGGTTTCAGTTCCGGGAGTTGGAGACGCGGCCACAGACGCCCCAAGAGGAAGAGAAAAAGGGGGAGGAGCGGGGTCGGGGGTGGAGAACGCCCTGCCTCTGGGAAACTGAGTCATGCCCAGACACCCAGGTATGTTAGCACAGGGCGCAGAGGGTGGAGCTCTGGGCTTCCACAACCAAGAGACCAACAAGGTGGAATGGGTGGTGGGGGAGGTCTCCTTCCCTTCCCTCTCTCCTTCAGGAGTCAAGCAGATCCCTAAATTACAGAGAATCCAAACTCTCCCTTCTTCTCTTGCTTGGAAGAGTTGCATACCAACCCCTTAAAGAGAACGTACTGTTGTTAAGGTTGCTTACTGCTTCCAGGCAAGTAAGCAGCAAGGAGGGACTCTTAAGTTTAGCTATCGTCCGTTTACCAAATCATGAGCGCCAGAGGGGACCTGCAACCATCTAATACAGGCAAACATCACTGTCAAGTGTCCCCTGTGCCCTCGTGAACTGAGTGGGGTCCTTAGCTGTTCACATCCTCATTCAGCACCCACTTTGTTCTGGCTAATCTTGGAGACACAGTGGTGACTTGACTGAGTCTGCCCTCATGGAGCTCCCAATCTAATAAGGAAGTAGAGTGACAGTCCAGGGTGGTCCGGGCTGGGATTTGGGAAACAGCAGAGAGACCAAGGCTGAGATGTGGAAGGCCAGACAGAGGAGGTTAAGAAAGTTTCAGAAGGGGCTGGGGATTTAGCTCAGCGGCATAAGCGCCTGCCTTGCAAGCAGGCAGTCGTGAGTTTGATCCCTGGTACCGATAAAAACGAAAAAAAAAAAAAAGTTTCAGAAGCCGGGGTTATCCTCAATGCAACACCAGTGACTAGGTGCACATCTACACCCACCACTAAGGAGGCGGAGGCAGGAGGCTAGTCAGAAGTTTGAGGGCAGCCCAGGCTCCATAGTGAGTTCAAAGCCAGCCTCAACTACAAAAAAAGACCCTGTCTCAAAACAAAAAAATTAGAGAGAGACAGAACAGGGGGTGGAGAGAGAGAGAGAGAGAGAGAGAGAGAGAACTAAGGATCTCTTGTGATCGAATCACGAATATATGCCTCTAAGAGGGACTAGGGGTAGGGGTTTGGCTTAGTAGCATGCTTAGCAAGTATGTATGAGGTGCTGGGTTCAATCCCCAGCGCTGCCAAAAAGCAAAACAAAAAAAAGAGGGAGGGCTGGGGATATAGCTCAGTGGTAGAGCACATACTCAGGCCCTGGGTTCCATCCCTGCCCCTCACTCTGAAGGGGGAGTCCTTCTGAGTCTCTCTTGCAGGGTTCTCCCCATGTCTCTGTAATACCTGGCAGCCTTCTGGAAGGCAGCCCAGAATTCAGCCATATCAGACCTCTAAAGAAATGGGGCTTGGGGCCCAACTGGTTCTATTTATAAAGTTGTGGCAATTTTTGGAACAGAGCCCAATTCAGGGCTGACAGTCCACAGGAAGAGATATCCGATGAATAAAAACAGTAACCCAGTAACCGTGGCTGCCAATGTCACAGACTGACCATATGTAAGGCCCTGTTGACACAAACACTTGCACAAATCCTCGGCCACACCCATCTAATTCCCATAAACAGAGGAGAAATGGAGGCTTCCAAATGGGGTACAATCAGCCCACTTATCGTGGATTGAATCAATTGCAGGTTGGAAATATTCGGAAAAAGCTGCATCTGTACTGAATGAGTACAGACTTTTTTCCATGTCATTATTCCCTAAACAATACAGAAAAACAAATATTTATGTAGCATTTATATTGTATTAGACATCACAAGTAATATAGAATGATTTAAGGTGCTAGGGGTATAGTTCAGTGGTAAAGTGCCTACCCAGCATGTGTAAGGGCCTTGGTTTTATCTGCAGCATCATACAAAATATATATATATGTATAATTTAAGGTATGTGGGGGGAACCAGGAATGATAGTACACACCAGTAATCCCAGAACTTTCCAAGCTAAGGGAATTGAAGTTTTTGAGGTCAGGCTGAACTACATGGCCAGACACTATTTCTTTTTCCTTTTTTTTTTTTTGTCTTTTTCCTTTGTATCGGTACCAGGGGTTGAACTCACGACTGCCTGCTTGCAAGGCAGGTGCTTATGCTTCTGAGCTAAATCCCCAGCCCCCAGCCCCTATTTCAAAAAAAAAAAAAAAGAATAAATAGGGACCATATGATTCCTTCATCAGAGTGTGTCCTTCTAGCAGCTCAAACTGGAACCCTTTCCTGCTTTTTGTTACTCTCCTTTGCTAAGGACCAGTCTGATCTTCATTAGCTCTCCAAGCTAACCCGCCTTTATTATTTTCTCTCTTTCTTTTTTGTATCTTTCGTTCTTTGTATCTTTCTTTCTTTCTTTCTTCCTTTCTTCTTTCTTGGTTTTGAGGCAGGTCTCAGTGTGTAGTTCAGACTGGCCTTGAACTCACTATGTATCCCAGGCTGGCCTTAAAGTCATGGTAATTCTTTTGCCTAAGCCTCCAGAGTACTAGAATCACAGGCATGTACCACCATGCCAAGCTTCTCTTACTTTCTAGTTAAGCTTTTTTTCCCCTGTAAACTCATGCTTTAAATTTTGTGTAGGATGCTTTTTTTTTTAAAGCTTCTTCTTGTTTTGTTATTTTGAAGGTAATAAAATACAACAAAACAAGACAGACCAAAGCCAATTGAGACAATGCAGTGAAACTGGTACAGAACTTCAGGGCAGGATATCGGGATAACAGTAATAGTACCATGGTATATCTCATTATCTTCACCATAGTTGTCCATTCAATCAGGTATAACAAAATGAAACCAAAAACAAAACATTATGAAACCTACAAAACAGAATATTGAACAGTGCAAAACAATTAATTAGAACAAAGCAAAAATAGTGAAAATAATATTTGCCTTCAAATAGAATATAGAAGAAAATCCCCCATATTTGCTATATTGTATACTGTCATCCTCCCAAGAGATGCTCAGACCTCTGACCCCAGGTCAGCATAATGAATCCAATAATACAAGCATTTAGTTGCTTTATGTACCATAGTTGCCATCAACTCTGGTTGTCCTTGACACCATCCAGTTGCTGGGTTGGAGGTGCGGAAATGAGACATTTGATTCTCAACCCGCATGCCAGTAGGCTCATGGGAGACACTGACTTGTTCTCTTCCTGGCTGCTTTTGGTTTTAGTTGAGTTTTCTGGTGTTTGTTTTTGTTTTGTGGTGCGGACTGGACCCAGGGCCTTTGCACTGAGCTACATACTTAGCCCTTTATTTTTTATTTTTGTGCCAGGTATTAGCTAAATTACTAAATTGCCCAGGCTGCCTCAGCCTCTTGCCCCAACCTCCCAGAGTGCTGGGATTATAGGCAGCTAACTTGGATAGAAATTAATATATAGTCAGAGAGGACTGAGCTTTCAAAGAAGTCAGTGAAAAATAAAGACATCATAATTGTGGCTGGAGGTGCATCTATAAACCACGCCTCAAGATAAAGAACTGAACAACAACAACAACAAAAGGTAAAGAACCAATGGCTGGGCCTGGGGATTTAACTCAGTGGCATAAGCGCCTACCTTGCAAGTGTGCAGTCGTGAGTTTGATCCCTGGTACCGATAAAAATGAAAAAGACAAAAAAAAAAAAAAAAAAGAGAATCAATGTCCAAGCCAGGCATGGTGGCACATGCCTATAATCCCAGCACTCGGGAGGCTGAGGCAGGAGGATTGTTGCGAATTGGAGACCAGCCTGGGCTACAAAGTGAGTTCAAGGCCAGCCTGAACTGCCAAACTGCATAACAAGACCCTGTCTCGCAAAGACAAAAAAAAAAAAAAAAAAAAAAAAAGAACCAGTGGCCAGGCCTGCACGTCCTCCTAAGGGATAAGCAATAAATTTTTTTTTTTGGTACTGGGAATCAAACTCAGGACCTTGTACTTGCTAAGCAGGCACTTATGCCTTGGATCTATATCCCTAGTCCTATCAATAGTAATTTAAGGTTCTATTGTAATTAGTGCCATTCTATTGTAATTGTAATTAGTAGGTCCAGATAGGCATCAGATAGTGAAGTGGGTGGCTGGAGCATCTGGACTCATCCCTTCCCCAGATGCCTTTGTTCTCTCTTCACATACCCTTCTTATGTGACTTGTTTCTCTAATAGATCAATATTAGCTACCCTTACCTATTGTACTCAATATTAGCTACCCTTACTTGTAATCCAATAGTTTGTACCTATCTTGTACCCACGTTGTGACTTTGTTGAATAAATTACCCCTGACAAATGGCCTCAGTGAGCACCCACTCGAGACCTGTACTGCCCTCTCAATAAACTTTGCCTAGTCAGAATTTCCCTGGTTACTTGGAATTCATCCTTTGAACCCAGCCCATCTAGCATCTAGCAGGTTGGGAGTTACATTTCTCCTATATCACTGAGATCGTAGATTTGTGCTACCACATCCAGCCATGCATTCATTTTATTTCTATTATGGCTAAAAGCAAGGAAACCTGCTAACTAGTGACAGTTTTAGTTGCAAACATGAGGCTGCCGTAGTGTGTGCTCCAGGAATTCCAGGACCCCAGATGGACTGAGTGCTTACAATACAGGACACTGTAGAAGGACTGACCACACCACACAGAGACTACACAGGGATACTCAGCTACACCCAGCAGTCTCCAGCCATTGTCCTAAGTGTGTGATCACCTGGACTCCAGGAAAACCAGAGCTCCATGGCTGCAGCCACCAAGAACAGAGACAGAGACACCTTTTCCTGGGAATAGACCTGCCCCTCAGCCACGGGGGACCCTGGAGCCCAGGAACCAGGCCAGGAAACATCAACCTGACCCTGGCTGTAGGCTAGTGCTTGTGCTCTGAGGGCTGGAGGTCTGATCCCCTTCTCAGAGTGTCAGAGAGCAAGCTCCAGTGCTAATGCTGTAGTGCTTTTTTTTACT